GAGATTGAGGAAATTAGCAAAATGTATTTGTTATATTTATAAATACGTCACAGCCCATTCATAAATTGAGCAGCGAGGGGATTAAACTTGGGCCATCTAACAAAACGAGTTTGCGTGATCCGAAGATCGAGGGAGTTGGGGGAGCCTTGTTTAGCCTTCAAAGACATGGCAGCAATTTATTTAAGCCTAACAGTTCATTTATTCAATTGCTTTTGTTATCACGTGCTTACTTATTATTTCCTATTTTCATTAAAGTATTAATATATCTTTAATTGAGAGACCAATTTTATTAAATTAAGATTTCGTTTTCCAGTACAATTAACATTTAATTATTTAAACAGTTGTTATTGTCAGGAATTTACTTATAGTTTATCTTTCTGATTAACATGAGCTCTTAATTTGCGAAAAGTCTGAAAACCGAAAATAAACAAGATCTTCACTTTTCCAGAACAAATATAGGCAAAAAGTTGACCCTATCTATTAACATTTTTGAAATACGAATTTCACAATTTTGTTTGTTTGTTAGGACAGTACTTTTCCATGACTAATTGACCTTATAAGCTTATTTTTTAACTTTAAAATATGTTTTGCTTTATTTCATTAATTAACATCTATATAATAATCCGTGTGCATAGTTGACTAAATAAAAACGCAGTACTTTTTCATATAAAACCAAATTCTGAATTTCACAATGGTTTGAAAAAAATCAAATTAACAATGGAAAATTACTTTTCCAGAAACATTTGTTTTATTTTCTGTTTTTTGTATTTATTAACGTACATCTATTAATTGACAAGATAAACATGTTTTCCAATTTGAGATGTCAGGTGAAAGAAAACTCCTTGTGAGGTATAAGCAAATAGTCTTTAGATTATACAATTTTGCGTGCTATTTTGGTAAAGCTTTTTTATTAACACCCATATATTAATTCATAAAAAAGAATTTCACAAAAATACGAAATATATTCCATTAAACAAATATCTTGTACTGTATTTTAAATTTTCCACAAGAAGTATTTTCATACTAACAACTTTGCTTATCTTATTTATTAGCATCTTCATCTTATTCGGTCTACCCTGGCTTTCCTTATTCCGAAATCGGCAATCATCGAACTCCTTTTAGGGACACACTTTTGGAAGATTTACACTTCAACTTAATTTTGAACTCATTCAAATTTAATTTTTGCATATGATTATCTTGTGTCTTTATATATTTATTCGTGTATGCAATTAGAAGGATGCATATATTTTAACCAGGTCTTAACTGTTAAATTAATATTTTGAAGTGTTTATGCCTTATTATCTTATTTATTTACAAAATGCTCGAGTGTTCAATTTAAGATACGCATGTTACATGGCGGGGGCGGCGGCGCATGTATGCATTTATATTAATTATGAAGTCGCACCCATATCAAATAATTTCGCTTCTCATTACAACTGCACACAAAAATATTGTTCTCTTGACCGCTGCCGCTTTAAACCAGTTTAATCTTGCTTAATAAATTAAATTTTTATTATACTCTTGCTAAGTGTGTGTTACATAAATAAGATTAGGAGTTTGCCGTGCATTTGAATTAAGATATTTTTATCATGTGGGGATGTAAGGATTGTGATTGAAATTGGATCAAAAGTCGTTAAGGTTACGCTTATAAGGTGAAAGAAAAAAGTTATTCGAAATAGGATAGCTTTGTGTTAATACAATTTTTAGAAATATTTTTGGTTATACTTTTTTTTTTCTATAAACCACTGAGTGTATGAGTGTATTCAGTTGCTCGACCCTCTGAAACAAGCTTCACACCCTGTTTGTTTTGAATTCATTTGGCTGTGTGTTTACTTTTTTTGTTACAATTTAATAGTTTGCTACGCATTTAATGTTTTAATTAGCTCTGCTTTGGGCCTGCTTCAAGGACTTTTGCCATTTTTTATTTTAACTTTGCTAAATGTATCTATCAACGATTGTTGGGGAGCTAATAGAACGGCTATGGTTTAGATTTATAACAAGATAGTGTCATATGGGTAATTCGGTTTTATGTGTGCCTACCCGCGCACATGGCAGGTGTCATTTGAATTGTATAATTTTTAGAAAGCTGTGCTAATTAAATGGGCAAATCTGTCCTTCTATGGGAGCAGCGGTACGGGGGTTCTCTGTGACTCTTCTCTGTGAACTTGTAGTGCTGGTTGGACTTCGTCTCGACGGGATTTGTGACTGCTTTTATTTGGGCTCGCTCAACTCTAAGACGACCTTCAAGTGAACAAACAAAAATTGTTGCATTAAATCCATTTCCGTTTTGATTCATGTCTCGCTTAGTTCTCCGCTTTTGTTTGAGCTTTTTTTGTTTTACTTATTTTATTTCCATTTGATTCCATAAGTATTAAGCTTTAATTAAGTTTGGAAGTTGTTTTGAAAATACCGAACCTTTTAATTGAATCGAGGGAAGTGCATCGGCTGTTATGACATCATAATGAGTCGGCAGGAAGTTCGCACGTACGGTCAGTCAGGCTGTTTACTCATATCATAGAGAATTATGACTGTGAGCTCAATAAATTATGCAATTAAATCACAAACCCCTTCGGTAATCGATGTCCGCGGTTTTGCTATCGCCGCCAGTACAAGTATTAAAGATAAGGCTTTGCGGAGATATTACGATTGCATTATCTAAAGAGCTGTTTGCAAATACTAAAGAGGATTTGCTTTACATTAAAATAAGCAAAGAATATTTAATACTAAATAATAGTGATTTCCCAGGAACTATTTTTGGTAGTATGTTTATTTAAGAAAACCTGTATTCAACCAATTTTTAATGTTTAATTGCCGTGGGCTCGTCAGCAGTGCCCCAGATAAGCCTACTACGAACTGATTAATCTGGACATGATTGGGGTTTTATTGCCAATACTGGGCCAAGTCGATTCACACTTTTTGGCTTACTTGCGCGCCTTATCGCTAAGAATATCGGTAGCATCGGCTCTATCAGTAGTGGCCAATAGACGATTATAAATCACCTCGGTTTATTCCAGCCTGTGGAACTGTGGGCAATCCACCAGAGATAGTCGATGAATTATGATAACCCCGCCGCCACCGAAATCCGTATAAAAGAGCCCCGATTCTTGGCGAGCACCTTAGTTGTGATCAAAATGAAATTCGCTTGCGCTACCGTTGTGCTTTTGGCCGCCATTCTCGGGGCCCAGGCTGTCGACTGGCAGTCCGTTAAGAACCTGAACATCGAGACCCCGATGCCCAAGGTCCATGGCGAGCCTCTGCCCGGCGGAAGGATTACCGGAGGACAGTTGGCCGAGCCCAACCAGTTCCCCTACCAGGTGGGACTACTCCTGTACGTCTCCGGAGGAGCTGCCTGGTGCGGAGGCACCATCATCAGCACTCGCTGGATCGTGACGGCCGCCCATTGCACGGATGCACTGACCACCGGAGTGGATGTCTACCTGGGCGCCCACGATCGCACCAACGCCAAGGAGAAGGGCCAGCAGATCATCTTCGTGGAGACCAAGAATGTGATCGTGCACGAGGACTGGATCGCCGAGACCATCACCAACGATATTTCCCTGATTAAGTTGCCAGTTGATATCGAGTTCAACGGTGGGTATTTCTTCGTAATTTCTTCATATAATAGTTTTAATGAATTTTGCACATTTCTCAGACTACATCCAGCCCGCCAAACTGCCCGTGAAATCCAACAGCTACGCCACCTACAGCGGTGAATCGGCCATTGCCTCCGGTTGGGGCAAGATCAGCGACTGTAAGTGACCCTTATGCCTTGAAAACTAATTAAACTAACTAATTTTGTTTCAACTAATCTAATAACAGTTATCTAGAGCTTTCTATAAATTCTTAATGGACACGACCTTGGGAAAACCCAAGTCGAAATAATATTTAACCTTTGGCAAAGTATTTTTAATCTTTTAAATCTTTTCGGAAAAACCTCTTCACATTTATTATCACACAATCGATTATTAGAAAATCTTATCTTATTTCTGTTCCAAACATTTTTGATTAACACCTTTGATTAATTCCATCAATTCTTAGGAATTTCTGATTCATTAACTAATTTTTCTCCCTTTGACTTATTTATTTTTCTAAGGATTTAAATAGTTAGTGGACTTAGACTACCATAGATATTAGAACTAATCTGATACCCAATTCCTTATTTTCCTTATAGCTGCTACCGGAGCCACTGACGTTCTGCAGTACGCCGTAGTTCCCATCATGAACAACAGCGGGTGCTCCCCCTGGTACTTCGGTCTGGTTGCAGGCACCAACATCTGCATCAAGACCACCGGCGGCATCTCCACCTGCAACGGCGACTCCGGCGGTCCTCTGGTCCTGAACGACGGCAGCAACACCCTGATCGGAGCCACCTCCTTCGGAATCGCCCTCGGCTGTGAGCGCGGATGGCCCGGCGTGTTCACCCGCATCACCTCCTACCTGGACTGGATCGAGGCCAAGACCGGTGTGGTTAACAAAGGCGTCTAAGCGTTGATTTTAAACATAAAATAAATGTTTATTTTTGGATTGCAAGAAATTAAAATTTGTTTGGAATTTGTTTCGTTTAAAATGTACACAGTGGAGACTTAATTGTAGATTTATCCTCGATAGGAAAGCGGAAAGTTCGGTTACTTCAGAACAAACAATTCAGGGGTGCTCTTCTTTTATTCAATAAAATATTCTAAAAGTGAATGCGATGTTATTATAGATTATTTATTATTATATTATCTTTTTCTGAATAGTTTCTTAAACTATAAGTTAGGGCACTGTATCTCCTAAGAACTGATTAATTCTTCCATAATTGAGCTTTATTGCCAATACTGCGGTGTGTGGATTCATACTTTTTGGCTTACTTGCCCATCTTATCGCTAATAGTGGGCAATAGGGGATTATAAATCAACCCCGTTAATTCCAGACTGGGCATTCCACCAGATATAGTCGATGAATTATGGTACCCCGCGCCAATCGAAATCCGTATAAAAGGTCTCCGATTCTTGGCGAGCACCTTAGTTGTGATCAAAATGAAGTTCGCTTGCATTACTATTGTGGTCTTGGCCGCCATTCTCGGGGCTCAGGCAGTCGACTGGCAGTCGGTCAAGAACCTGAACATCGAGATTCCGATGCCCACATCCCATGGCGAGACTCTGCCCAGCGGAAGGATTACCGGAGGAGAAATAGCAGACTTCACCCAGTTCCCCTTCCAGGTGGGACTACTCCTGTACGTGGCAGGAGGAGCTGCCTGGTGCGGTGGCACCCTCATCAGCAATCGTTGGGTTCTGACTGCCGCACATTGCACAGAAAGCTTGACCAGCGGAGTAGATGTCTACCTGGGCGCCTGGGATCGTACCGATTCCAAGGAGGAGGGCCAGCAGATCGTCTTCGTGGAGAAGAAGAATGTGATCGTACACAAAGATTACAATGCTACCCTCATCAGCGACGATATTTCCCTGATTAAGTTGCCAGTTCCCATCGATTTCAACGGTAGGTTCTTCGTTACTTTCATTTGAAAAAGTTTACAGTGAATGATCCATATTTTACAGACTACATCCAGCCCGCAAAACTACCCGTGAAGGGTGAGACCTATTCCACCTACGAAGATGAAACGGCCCTTGCCTCCGGCTGGGGCAAGATCAGCGACTGTAAGTGACCCCTATACCTTGTATAAATTCCACATTTAGGAGTAGCTAAAGTAGAGAAAGTTAAGCAAGTTTGAGACCTTTAGTCAGTGTCAGTCAGTGCACCTTTAGCTTACCTTACAGTAGAGAAATATTTAATAGTCAAAAAATGAATTAAATAACCATTTAAAATCTCTAGAATATGTTTAACATACTCTAAGAAACTTTCTCAGATCTTTTCTAATTCCCCCATTTTATGTTTTCCCCACAGCTGCTACTGCAGTCACCGACAAACTGCAGTTCATCGAAGTTCCCATCATGGCCAACACCCCGTGCAACCGCTGGTTCCTTGGCTTGGTTGCGGACACCAACATCTGCATCAAGACCACCGGCGGCACCTCCACCTGCAACGGCGACTCCGGCGGTCCTCTGGTCCTGGCCGACGGCAGCAACACCCTGATCGGAGCCACCTCCTTCGGAATCTCCCTCGGCTGTGAGGTCGGATGGCCCGGCGTGTTCACCCGCATCACCTCCTACCTGGACTGGATCGAGGAGAACTCCGGTGTGGTCAACAAGGGCGACTAAGCCTCGATTTTGAACTTAAAATAAAAGTTTATTTTTGGATTACAAGAAATAGAACTCGTGTTCAGAGTGCGGGGTGCGTGACCGTGTTCGCGGTCTGATCTCCTCGGAGAAGTCCTCTTCCGAGGAAGGTCTCGGATGCACATCTAGTTCATCGGGCACATCGTCCGCCGGCTGCTCCTCCGTCTCCAGCCGTCGACTTTGTCGCGGCTTTCCGTACTCCCTGACGTACTGGTCGAAGAATATCGCCTCCGTGGTGTCCTGATGGGAACTGACGCCAGTCTCGTCACTGATCCAATCCAAATACGAGGCCACCTTGGTGAAGGCCGCCGGATAGCCGCGATCGCAGCCGTAGATGCTGCCGAATGAGGTGATTCCCACGAGGACCCTCTTCTTAGAGTGCCGCCTTTGCAGGACCAAAGGCCCGCCCGAATCTCCATTGCAAGTGGATCGGGCGTTCCTTCCACTGGTGCATATATTTGTACCGCGATAGGAGAGCGGAAAGTTGGACTTGCACGTCCGTCCATCGATGATCTGCAGCTGGACATAGCGGAGCACATTGCTGATCGCATGCACTCCGGTGGCATATCGTCCCCAGCCGGAGGCAATGGCCAGTTTGTTCTTGAAACTGCGGTACTCGTAGTGCCTCTTCGGCAGTTGGATGGGATGGATGCGCTCTGAAAGGATAGATTTAATAATGAATGAATGGATTTATTTCAGATACAAGATGTTAAGGTGGATCTTTCTTTGATATTTTTAAAATGCTTGAAATAACAATCTTTAAATTTGGTTTTTAGATCTTTTACTTTTTTGCTGGTACTCTAAATAACAGAGGCGGATTTTCTTTGGATAGATTATTTCCATTATGATTTTTAAATTGATAATTTCTATAATATTCCTCAAAAATAATCATTATTTTTATTTTTATACCATGTTTACTTCGGATGAGTTGAATACTTTTTATATACTACTTTTTAAAAATTAAATTTGTAAGTATATTATTTATTTTCAACGTTAAAGTTTTCTTATACAGAACCCCCCTTTAATACTCACCATTAAAACTGACTGCATGGGGCAATCTGACCAGGGCAATGTCATCCTTCAACCTCTTTGGATTCCAGGTGGGATAGATCTGGAAGTTCTCGCTGGGCACCATCAGACGCACCTGGCCCTTCTCCTTGGCGTTCTTGATTTCATTGGCGCCCAGAAAGACCAGAGCCCTCTTAGCCCTAAAAAATAAAAACCGATGAGCGGATTGGTTCCCCATTCAAACGCTTACCATTCCTACATATCCACACAGTGGGCGGCGGTGATGACATGCTTCTCGGAGATCAGGGAGCCACCGCACCAGTACAGACCCTTGGGTCTTTGGAGCAGCATGCCCACCTGGTAGGGAAAGCAGTGCGGATTGCCCACATCGCCGCCAAAGATGCGATCCATGGCCATGGCGCCCTCGGGCAGCATCTTTTCCAGCAGCGGCGTGGTCTCCAGATTGAGGACGAGTGGTTCCCGATCCTCCAGATCCTCCTCTTCGCTAAATCCACCCATGCCCAGTCCCATTCCCATTCCCTTCATGTGGCGACTGTCCACGTTGCTGGCACTCATTTCCGCATCGTGTTCCAGAGAACCAGAAGAGGACGAGGAGGAGGAGAAGGTGGAGGACGAGGAGGTGGACGAAGACAGGCCGTTGGGACCCGGGTACATGGACACCAGGTACATCGGCTTAACCTGCTGCCAGTCCAGCGCGATGCAGTGCCTCGTTAGCCATGTGAGCCCAATGAGCAGCAGCAGCGTGGCACTTGCACTTGCAGATTGTTTGGACATTGGCTTCGTTTGTTCGATTGCTTTGTTCGCGCACGCATTTAATTTTTAATTGCGAGTGCAATTGCTGGCACTTAAGGTGATTTGACTGCTTTCACTGCTAACTGTGCTTCCTTTGCATGGCTTCCTGTTTGGCTGAATGCGGCGATTCTAAAACTGCTTACTTCCGGGGCGACTCTAAACTAGCCTATTATCCTGCTTTCGTTTTCTAACTATTTAATTAAATTGTATTTATTTTAGTTATTTAATTATTTATTTTTATTTAAAAAAAATAATGATGAGGATTTTACTTTATTAAGTTTTTAAACTTTTTTAAAGGAATTTCCTGGTATTAAACACTTGTAGGTTGATTACTTTTCCTGGACTTTTCCTTTTAATTCATTCAGCATTGATTCATATTTTAAACCATTAGTATTAACTATTTTTATTAATGTTCATCTATTATTTTCTGGATTATTCCTTTTGGGGGACTAATTGTTTTCTATTTTAAGATTTATTTGGTTGTTTGCTAACTATAAGGTTTAATGTGCACTTATTCTTGCAATTCCTTGACTGAGTTAAGTAAATTCACTTCCAGAGTATACTAATTTCGAGAAGCTTTGTTATCCTGGTTGTTCGTATATATGCCCAGACACCTTTATTCCTTTTTAAATTGGTTTCCTGATGAAGGATCCCTGATCCTTCGGGGTCCAATACTGCTTTCCGCGTTCTTGCACTGCTTCCTTGACGGCTCAAACTGCTTTCGCTGGACTTCCTTGACTTCCTTAGCTTCCTCTTTTAACCCACTTCCGCGGCGCCTCGCCTCCTGCTTCTGCCACCCGTTCACCCACTGGTCACTTTTGTTTTCCCGTTTCGAAAAGCCGTTACGCTGGTTACTGGACACTTCACCGCTTTAAACTTCAGTTGTAATCGCAATGCGCGTCGTCGTAATCGCCGCCAGTCTTCGTTAGTACTGCTTTCTTCGCGTCTTGTTAGCCACTGCGCCGGCGCGCAGGTTGCCAGCATTTTTATAAACTCTTTTGCCAGCGCAGAAGCTGAAATTGCGCGCCGCCTTAATTATTTCATCTATTTGGCCGCGCACTGTATGCACTTCAGTTGGCCGCGCACAAATGCAGTTGCATCAATTTGGCTTAATTTGCCTTTTGATTAGAAATCTCTCTTATTTTCCCGATGCGACTCCTTTTTCTCCATTGAGGAACTGTCACTTTTCAGTCGGAATTCGCCCTTTGCCTCGATCGCAGCCGGTTCGCATTTTAGTCGCCAAAATGGAAATGTGTGCCGCATAGGCTACATTTCATCGTGGATGTGGATCTCTGTGGCCTGTGTCTTGTGGTTTTGCCATTTAAATTGAATGCGAAGCTGTAACTCTAGTTATCCGCCCGCTTTGGCGCTATTACATCACTACTCCCCACTTCGCTCACTTCTCGCTTTAACTCCATCTTCATTATGCATTCGCGATCGGGTTTTTTTTCGTCTTTTTATTTCGGTGGCTCTGCGGAGAGAAGAGTCTTTCATTGAGAAAAGAGCTCCGGCGGTTAGGTTGCTGTAAGTGAAACAATAACAAATGTTGGGCTACACTTATATTTGCATGGGGCCTCTGCTCTAGTCTTCACCCTCAGTTGGGATATCATCGGATCACTCAACAGTCAGGCACCTTTAAATGGATTTGAAATCACTAAATAATAGCAGTATTGAAAAGTTTATTATTCTTAAATTTATTTTTTTCATCTTACTATAAATTATGCAACTATTAGATAAATTCTATTAAGTAGGATTTTTATTTGGAATCTTATCTTTCGAGCTATCTATATGATCTTAACATTTATATTTATACTATAAGATTTTAACATTTTTTTACACAAGAATACTGATTTTATTGTTAAACTTATCTCCAATATAATAAACACACTTTTGTATGTATATTTTGTGTTAAGATGTTATAATATATGCTATCTTTTTATTTAAAGATACCAATATAAACAAGTTCTAAAATAAAATATTATTTTTAACAAGTGTTTAAGTTTAAAAAGTACAAGTTTTTCATAATTAATTAAGAAATGTTTTTATAACAAGAATAGATAGATATGCCTAAATATCTTTTAGACTAGTTTCTGAAAAGTGTTCAACCTCCTGAAGCTTGACTGTGCGTTTTGTCTTCTTCAACCGCAGTGGCCCCAACTGGTTAGTCTGACTTTGATGATTCAAATTAAAGCGACTACTGTGTACTGGCAGACCTCAAGGTTATTGCCAGGGCAGATTTGGGTGGCCAGAGGGAAGGGCTTTGAGCTCGGGGGCGGACACCTGTCCGTGGCTCATAAACAAATTAACAGTTTTCCATTCGGTTGCATGCAGCAGTGGCAGCAGTTGGCATGCGCAGAATTCTTAGCAGGAAATGAAATGAAAATGCAGCATAAAATATGTATGTGTTGTTAATTAAATTAATTCGTGCACCGCCTGCCGCCGGCTGAGATAATCAGCTTTATTTGGTGTTGAAAGTATTTCTGTTACCTGGCCATTGTTGTCGATTTAGGAAATTACTGCGGTGCGGTGCGGTCTGTGTGCCTAGCGAAGCAAATAAACCAAATCGTCTCGCGCTCGCCGATGTGATATGTATGATCGAATCGAATTGAATCAAATCGGATTGGATTGTTTTGGATCGAAATGAAGCCGAATGTAATGAGGCTGCAACAACAGTAAGGCAGGCACAACAGCATGATTATGATTATGCAAATGCAGCACCGCACCACCACCACCACCACCCACCTCGATCCCCTGTCTCGGGCAGTTCGATATCGTGCTGCGGTGCGTCTATATCTATATCTTTATATATATTCGCTGCATAATCGCCACCCGTTGCATGTTGCACTCATTAATAATGGGCGCGTTTTTGTTACTGCATTTTATTGCACTTGCTAATCACGCGGCGGCCGTTATTTAATTGAGCTTGAGCGCCACCCGGCTCGCACAATCCGTCCAGACTTTTGGCCACCTCCTCGGTGCGTTTCGCTTCCGTTTCGCCTTTAAATTGGAATTATTTATTTTATTTTAGTGTTCCTCGTTAGTACGGTTTTTACCGCCCCCAGTAGCTCTTTATAGCTTATTACATCATGGAATTGGCACCTCTCTTCCAGTGAAGTTGCAGTTGGAGGATTGTGACAGTTATCACTTTTAAGATAGATATTAAATTACTATATAAGATATTATTTTTAAAAAGTTCCTAAAAGAATTTTATAATAAAAGTCTGAAGTATGGCAAAATATTAAAATATATAGGGTGTTCAATTGCTTTGCAAACTTTGTAAAGTGTAAAAGTGTATAACAACAATTTCTATACAAAATAGTTTTAAAGGCCTACTTTTGAAAATTTTTTTGTATAGAAATTGTTGTTGGAACCGCCTTACACTTTTACACTTTACAACGTTTGCAACGCAATTGAACACCCTAATAATATTTATTAAAATGGAGCATAAGGAATCGTTTAATATTTACAATACTTGCTCTCTTTTTATGAAATATGTGTACGACATTATACTTGGAATGTTTGGCAAATATAACCCTAATCAAAGATTACTGGTAACTTGTGCAAGTGTTTGGAAACAGAACATAAAGTTCTAGTAATAGATATTAGTTTCGTTCTTGATCCAGTCCAAGTAACTGGTTACACGGACGAAGCCAGCAGGTTTACCGGACTGGCAACCAGCGCTTGAGACAAAGGATGTAACACCGATCTGAACATTGGAGGACTGCAGAGTCATAGGACCGCCGGAGTCACCGCGGCAGGTGGACACACCGCCGGGGGTGGAGGTGCAGATTGTTTTAGAGGTCACGACCAAGGATCCGTAGGTTCTGCCACACACGCTGTTGTCGATCACCTGTAAAGTGGCGTACTGTAGCTTATTAACCACTGTGGTTGCCGAGTCGCTGATGAGGCCCCATCCGGAAACAACAACGGAAGCTCCGTCATAGGTCGGGTATAAGTTGGCGATGGGTGGTAGCATTACGGGCTTGATCCTAAAGCTGATGTCGACGTGGGGGATCCTTATTAGGGAAATGTCGCTATTCAAGTAAACGGGGTCGTAGTCGGGGTGATTAATGAAGCTGGACCTGGTGACCAAGCGGATTGCCTCGGCGGAGGTGCGCTCGGTGGCTCCCAGGTAGACGATCGCAAAAAGAACTCTGAGATGGTGGAGAAAATATAAGTGGTTAGCTAACACATATCACCCTTATAGACAAAAAGGTCACTTACCCATATGTACAATGGGCAGCACTTAGCACCCATTGGCTACCAATGAAAGAGCCGCCGCACCATTTATTCAAATTCAGGAAAAGTCCCACCTGGTAGGGGAACTGGCCGACGGAGGCATCGCTTCCTCCGGTGATGCGACCCTCGATGCTGTCAACCACGGGCATCTCGCGGATGCGTTGGTGGAGCTTTGGCTCTGGGAAAGCGGAGGCAGCCACGGCCAGGACCAGGATGATGAGGAGCTTCATCTCGGGAATGGCAGCTTCTCAGTTGAAGGAACTTAACTGCTCTTTCAACGCCCGCCAGGGGTCTTTTATAATGGAAATGTTGGGTTCGCGCCTGCGATTAGGTTGCATTTCACAAAGAACTGTGGCGATTAGATAGATTCGAAAAACCTTATCTGCCGTCATTTTGTGCAGAAGATATGGATCAGTTTTAGGACCTTCAAAATGGGTCAATGTTCTTTCAAACTCTGTTTCTATGTGTAAGGAATACATATGTATAAGCTGATAATTTTCGGGTATAGGTTTTGGGTCCTTCTTGTAGACGAAAAAATATATATATATTAATCGACTGGTCAAAAAAAAATGGTTTGAAAATATTCAATTTTTAAAATATACAACTACAATAAAAATAAAATAAAAAATAATTTTTATAATTTATTTATATTTTTAAAATTATAATATTAAAATAGTGGTTGTCGAGTGCCCATTAACTAATATTCTAACAGAACGTATAACATTAAAATATATGAAAAGTTTAAAAACGGTTTGAATATACTTTTAATTAATCGAGATGAAAATTGAGGACCAGAGATTCTTCATAAACACAAGAACTTTAAATAAAATCCTGAACGTAAGATCGTGAGCCAGGGGATGGATATGTATTTTCATCTTTTATTTATACGCTTATGGCTAGGCACAGAATCGTATTCTATGGCTGGATAAGTTTAGTTTTAGGTATAGCTCTAGATTATTTTCCTCTACTTGCTATTTACACACATATAACTTTGATGGGGCGGCTTAAGACTACGGTATGAAGTAAACCGAACGAACGTAAATCCTAGCTCCATAGTTGGTATCAGTACATTTGTTTTTGGGCACTATCAGCTAGTTGTAATGCAATGAATAATGAATAATTATGTGGTGCGTATTGAATCGTTCAGTCTCTCTACTCAAAGCCCGCCGGTTGCATGAGGAACTGGTGGTGCTGGCTGCCCATCGCCGGCAGCTGTATATCCTCCATGGTCATGGATGTCTTGGGGATCTCGAGGGTTTCTGCCGACCCGCCGCCCGCCTCGCCATCGTCGCCCTCCAGCATGGCACTGTCGAAACTCTTGTTCAGACGATCGTGGAACTCGGTCATGGAGATTTTCTTGAGCGCAAAGCGCTTCCCGAATGTCTTCTTCACCTTCTGGCGGCGTCTCTTGGACAGGATCTTGTTCTTGTTCAGGCCATCGCTGAAGGATATGGCCCGGCGCAGTTTGCGGCCCCAGACCTTGACGACCTTCACCTGGCTGCTGATGGAGCACTCCTCGCTGTCGTCCTCCGCATCGGCGGCATTTTCGTCGCTGGGCTCCTCGAAGATTGTCTCCAGATTGGTGGGCGTGAACTTCTTCATCCGCTTGCTGGTGTACAACTTTTCGATGCTCTTCAGGGTCTGGGCATTGGTGTTAAGCTCCTTGCGTTGCTTCTTCTTGACGGGCTTCATGATGGCACTGCAGACCCGGTTGAAGTTGTCCTTGGACACCCTAGCGGGCATCCTGCGACGAGCCACACCCGCCCGGGCACCAAAATTGGAACTATGACTGGAGGAGGACCCGCTGATGCAGTCGCTATCGTCGTCATTGTCCTCGCAGCGACTCAGCTGGGAGTCCACGTCGTCCGAATCCTGGGACGCACTGCTGACGCTGCCATCGGATTCGGGAGCAGCTACGGGCTCGGATGTATCCTGCATCTCCTCCATGTCCGACATGGCCATCTCCTTCAGTCGCCACGAGAGATTCGAGCTGGTGGACGACCTGAAATTCGGGTTTGAGGAGGAGGACTTTGTGGCAAGTCTATGGGCAGGACTACTCACCTATTACCCGCGAATCCCCCCTCCTTCGGTTGAAATGTGATCTTGGCGAAATCGTAGACAATATTATCCATTATAATTACACTGAAAGTAAAACCGTCGGAATAACTAAGGATGGGGTTTCTTGACAGTTAAAGATAAGATGTAGTATATTACCTTTCCAAAATCGCGCATTTCCTGGTCTTTGAAGCCTTTGCGCTGGAGGCGTCTGTCTGAACAGGCGGATCTCTTTCACTCCGGGGGGTAATTTCTGGACTAACAGCTAATTCTGGTTAAATCTAGCTCTGTCAGGGGCGGCTTTATATCACCCAGGTCCAGCAAAAGGTTGCTCGTTTTTGGCCTCCTTCACTGCATAAAAATAAGGGGCAATTTTTTAAGTTTTTATGAAAAATAAAATAAACAGCTTGGTTCTAGAGGTGGAGAAACATCGATGGAAACATCGACGTATCGATGTTTTTATAAATTTTGGAAATATCGATGTTTGTTTTTTTCATCGATGTTTTTCATTTTTAAAATTTCTTGTACATTTTTAATATTATGTTAAACATTTACTGATTTGTTTATTATTTTGTTGGTTTTATAGGTAAAAAAAAATTGATAACATCGTAAAACATTTAGTTTTCTTCAAAACATTGAAAACATGAATGTTTACGAATATATAGTTTATTTAGTTACCATTTTTTTGGGATAGCTTGCAACATTTAGCACGATCTGTGAGACACAGAATAATGATTTTAAAATTAGCGTGTAAATTTAATTTTCAAATGGGTTGTAGTGTCCGATACTTTGGTTCATGTCATGGCTGGCCATGGTTCTTGTACTGGAGTTGGTGGTATTCTAACATCCGTTAAAAATCCAAATACTGTTAGGTAATGCTCTCGAAAACTGTCAATAATTTTTTAATGCAATTTTCCAGGATCATTGCAGGCATGAATTGCCTCGTCGTTCTATAAACACGAAATGGAGGAGCACACTCTTTGAAACACGTTTTGGATAATTTAATTTTTAAGGACTTTGTTTGCACTGTCTGGGTTCGTGACTTTACTAGCACAGTGGGCAGCAGCACTGACGGTAATTATTCTAATTTTGAAAACCACCGTTATTTTATAAGCATCCGATTTTACAAGGTCATTTAAAACTACTACAGATTTAAAGATAACTAAACTAGAAACTTTTAAAATGGTTAGAGCTAAAGGTAAAACATACGATTTTATGAATATCAATATCAATATCAATACCCGCTAATATAAATATTTTATTTTCCTAATAAATCCCCACGGCTGACAAGCTTCGCTTGATAGAAGGCACATTTAAATCTTATCAAATGTGCCAATTTGGTAGGCAAGATTTCATCAAAAACAAAGACCGTTCTTATCTGAACGTTGTAAATTTCGCTCCCAGCGGATTAATTCATTTCCGCTTAAAAAATAACTATAAAAACGGCGCAACCTCTTAATTTGATTCATTAAGTGTGCTAAACTTCGAGTGAAATGAAAGTGCTAGCAATCCTGCTCCTGGGCGTAGTTGCCGCCGCCTCTGGCGCCTCGAGAGCCTTCGAGAAGCCGGTCTTCTGGAAGGATGTGCCCGTGGGCAAGGCCTCCATCGAGGGTCGCATCACCATGGGCTATCCCGCCTACGAGGGAAAGGTGCCCTATATCGTCGGTCTGGGCTTCAGCAAGAACGGCGGCGGCACCTGGTGCGGCGGCTCCATCATCGGCAACACCTGGGTGATGACTGCCAAGCACTGCACCGACGGCATGGAGTCGGTGACCATCTACTACGGAGCCCTGTGGCGCCTCCAGGCCCAGTACACCCACTGGGTGGGCCGTGGTGACTTCATCGAGCACGGATCCGGCGATATCTCCCTGATTCGCACTCCCCACGTCGACTTCTGGTCGCTGGTCAACAAGGTGGAGCTGCCCAGCTACAACGATCGCTACAACAACTACCAGGGCTGGTGGGCCCTCGTCTCCGGCTGGGGCAAGACCTCCGACGATGTGGGTGTTTCTGAGTACCTGAACTGCGTGGACGTCCAGATCGGCGAGAACTCGGTCTGCGAGAACTACTACGGCAGCTTCTCGGGCGACCTCATCTGCATCCCCACGCCCGAGAACAAGGGCACCTGCAGCGGCGACTCCGGTGGCCCGCTGGTCATCCACGACGGCAACCGCCAGGTGGGCATCGTCTCCTTCGGCTCCTCCGCCGGCTGCCTCTCCAACGGTCCCAAGGGAATGGTCCGCGTCACCAGCTACCTGGACTGGATCCGCGACCACACTGGCATCTCTTACTAAAGAGTTTATTGAATAAACTATTGCGAAATGAAAATTTAAAAATATTTGGTATTATTTATTGATTTCTGGAAAATGCAACCAAATCTTACTGATATTAGTGGGTTTAAAACTTGAAGAACTTATGGCCATCACGAAACTAAAGCCTTATGCTAACAGTATTATAATTAATTTAAACCCTTTTCCGTAATTTATTACTTTATATTTTGTTTCAATTTTGTGATATTAAAAAAGCTTTATCTTTAAATAAGCTAAAAATTATATTAAGAGCAGGCTTTTGAATTCCTTAGAATATACTTTAACTTAGATTAGTTTCTTTAGGGCCGGTTTCTCGAGTGCCGGCTAACATTTCTCGAACAGATAAAGTCCCTGCTAAGGCATTTTGGCTTTCTCGAGCACCAATGTGAGAGCTAACTTTGACAGGGACTCGGAGTCCCTGTTAAGCGTTTTCGGCTCGATAGAATGACAGCTGATTTCCCAAAGCCAACTATGAAGAAGAAACAAAATCACAGCTGACTTTTCATTTGAATTATACCCAAACAGCTGATGAAATAATCGAAGCACGCCATTTTTTGCGCATCACAGCACAATTCTGTGCGTTAACAGCACTCTGTAATTGTTTCTCGTTCAGATAAATTAAAGCAGTCGAGAAAGCGGATTTGCTTTTACGAACAGTTTATCTGGTATTTAAGTTTTTCGAACAGATAGCTATCAGGGACTTTGACAGGGACTCGAGAAACCGGCCCTAAGACGATTTAAAAATTTATAGAATTTATAAAAAAAATATATCTGTTTAACAACACAGTAGCGGCCCCCTTTAAAACTAAATCAAAGTAAAAATCCTTCCTCTTTATGCATAATCAATTGTCCTTTAACTCCTTAAAGGCTGCTTTTATTAAGAAGAAATGCCGGTATGATCGCGGATCCAGTCCAAGTAGCTGGAGACTCGCGTCATTCCCTTGGGACTGTTGGAGAGGCAGCCCTCAGCAGATCCGAAGGAGACAATGCCCACCTGACGGTTGCCGTCGTGGAGGACGAGCGGTCCGCCGGAGTCTCCGCCGCAGGAGCCCTTGTTCTCCGGCGTGGCATAGCAGATGTGGTTGGGCGTGATGAAGTGGCTGCCGTAGTAGTTCAGGCAAACGTCGTTATCGGATATCTGGATGTCCACGCAGTTGAGGTAATCGGTCATGCCGCTGTCATTGGAAGTAGCGCCCCAGCCGGAGAGCAGGGCCCACCAGCCGGAGAAGCTGTTGTAGCGATCATCGTAGCTCGGGAGCTCCACCTTGTCGACCAGCGACCAGAAATCGACGTGCGGAGTGCGAATCAGGGCGATGTCGTTGTTCAGATTGCCGTTATCGTAGTCGTGGTGAGTGATCATCTCGGAGGAGACGTGCTTGAACTGCGGCGAGTGGCGCCACACTGCTCCATAGCTGATGGTCACGTAGCTGGCTCCGTAGGTGCAGTGTCCTGCGGTAAGGACCCACTCGTGGCCAATGATCGAACCACCGCAGTTCCAGCCACTTTCACCGTTTTCGAAGCGCAGTGCCACAATATAGGGCACCTTTCCCTCGTAGGCAGGATATCCGTTGGTGATGCGTCCATTGATCCTCTTCTCGGCGGGCATGTCCTTTACGGGAACGGGCTTTTCAAAGGCCGCCACCAAGGCAAGAGCCGAAATTAACAAAACTACCAGTACTTTCATGGCTCCAATGCTTTTGCTATAACCCAACTTGCGAAACTGCTTTATATACTCTCCAGAATTGGTTCGTATCTATCGGTTTTAAATATTCATAATCAGTTAGGTTCAAAATTTACAATCCTCTTTCCTTATTTACAATCACTTCCACGTGTCTTATTTCTAAGGTGTTAAATATTTAAATAAGGTACTCATATTTTATTGATACTGGAGTATTAAAAGAATCTGCTATCTATAAAAAGTTTTATTAGGGTGGTAAAATAACCTAATCTAATTTCCTATCTACAAAGTTCTACCATTCTAATCACAGAATTTATTTATTATAACATTTATTTTGTAATGGAAATATTGAATTTCGGTATCTAATCATTTTATGTTTTAGTCTCAACTTTTCGAATAATATTTTAATTTATGGTGTCCTTTAAACTGTAATGCCTTAAATTAGTCTATATTAAAAGACTTATTTCTGCGAAAAAGTATGCTAAATACAATGATTTTTTTTAATAGATGGACAATAAAAGGAAGTAATTGAAAACCTTTTTTATTATTATTATATTTTGAATAGTGATATATTACACACCTAAAGAAGTGAAAATTACAAATATTATTTTCGCATAGGTAGATTAAAATTTCATTTAAACAAATAATCGTTTTTATTCCAAATGAATTTAGTAGTAGATACCAGTCTTTGACCCAATCCAGCCCAAGTAGCTAGTCACCCGAATAAAGACGGCAGGGTCATTAGCCTGACAACCATTTTTGGACACGAAATTCATCACGATTCCAATGAGCAGGTCACCTCGGACCAATGGGCCGCCACCGTCGCCGATGCAGGTTGAGGTCTTGTCAGTGGTTTTAACGCAGATCGTCTTGGTGTTAGCGACATTGGCCTCGTAGTATTCCAGGCATTTTTGGAGGGTGATAATTTCGAAAGTCGCGTACCTAAGGGCCTTGGAATAATCGTAAGCGAAAGTTTTGGTGTTGCCCCATCCGCAGGCGGTGGCCCAATCTCCGGCGTATGTGGGGTAGATATTAGTGTCGTCGTAGGCGGGCAGCTTAACCTTCTGGATATACTTGGTGAAGGATATATATGGGGTCTTGATTAGGGCAATGTCGTTCGTCCTCCAAAACGAATTGTAGTTCTCGTGGATAATAATGTTGGTTGGGTCAACGGTGTGGGTCAGCTTGCCTTTTTCGCGAGTGGTGGAGCCGTAGTAGATGGTCACTGAATAGCCGCTGTTTCAGGAAGATATCCATTATATTAACCAGATTCTACACAGTCGAACTTCCCTTACTCAAATGTTCCTTAAAAATGTTATTATACCCGTTACTCGTAGAGAAAAGGGTATATTGTATTCGTGCAAAAGTATGTAACAGGGAGAAAGAAGCGTTTCCGACCCTATGAAGTATATATATTCTTGGTCAGGATCACTAGCCGAGTCGATATAGCCATGTCCGTCTGTCTGTCCGTCTGTCTGTCTGTCTGTCTGTCTGTCAGTCCGTCTGTATGAACGCTGAGATCTCGGAAACTACAAAAGCTAGAAGGTTTAGATTTCCCACACATATTCTTGGGCTTCTACCGCAGCGCAAGTTTATTTTAGCCGAGCGCCACGCCCCCTCTAACGCCCACAATCGCCCCCAACGATTTTAAAATGTTTTTGGCGCCCATACCTTTAAAGATTTCCGAGAAGTATAAATGCAATTTTGTTGTGTATATTTATACCTATCAAAGTGTAGAAGACATTTTTCAAATCGGATCATTAATCAAAAAATATATCCATCTCCCTCGCACTCCCTTTAGTCGAGTGACGGGTATTAGATAGTCGGGACACCAACCCGACTATAGCGTTCTCTCTTGTTTTTTTAATACTTTTCAAATTTACTCAAATTAACAAAACAAAAACTTTTTTGAGCCGACTATCAGATACCCGTTACTCAGCTTAAGGGAGTGCGAGGGAGATAGAGATAAAAAATTTGTCTACATTTCGATAGGTATAAATATACACAACAAAATGGCAATTATACTTCTCCAAAATCTTTAAACGTGTGAGCGCCAGACACATTTTAAAATCGATTGTGGGCGCTAGAGGGGACGTGGCGCTCGGCTGAAATAAACTTGCGCTGCTTGAAAGCCCAAAAATATGTGTGGGTAATCCCGACTTTCTAGCTTTTGTAGTTTCCGAGATCTCAGCGTTCATCCGGACGGACAGAGAGACATGGCTATATCGACTCGGCTAGTGACCCTGATTATAAATATATATATTTATAGGGTCGGAAACGCTTCCTTCTCCCTGTTACATACTTTTGCACGAATACAATATACCCTTTTACTCTACGAGTAAAGGGTATAATGAGTTTACTTACGAAACGCATGAGGCAGCGGTCAGCACATATTCGTTACTGATTATGGATCCACCGCACCACCAGATTACGAAGGAGAGTCCCACTATGTAGGGGAACTGACCGGTGGAGGCTTTATTGCCGTTGGTGATCCGACCCTCCATCAAGGACACGTCGGACAGGTTACTGGGGGAGATTGGCTCCTGTTGGGGCAGCAGACCGGCGGCGGCGGTTGCCAAAACCAAGGCGAAGACTACGAGTACTTTCATGACGACCGAAAACCGAATGATTCTCCCATGGACACTGCGTCGCTTATATACCACACCGGTCCTCATTTATTTTTTACCTTTCTTTTTAATACTTATAGGCTTCGATTGACCAAAGCCAAAAACAAACTAATTATCTGCTGTTATCGGATTGTTTTAAGCATTTTAAAGCCCAAAAAACGGGAGAAGTCGCCGCCCAAAGTATTTCATAAGCATAGATTTCGATAAATGAAGACTTTGCCATGTTGCCTTTGCCAAACAGACGACCTTGGTTCTTTTTTGCACTGCCCAAAGAAATAAGTCCCGAAATGTCGAGGTGTTATGTTTTCATAATAAAATAAGTCCTCAATTTAAAATAAGAAGAGCTCCAAATTCCAAAAAGGTGGTAAGTAAGAGACCATATTTTGCATCATGCTGGTAGATAAACAAAACTTAACAAAACCCTTCAAAGTCAAAACACTTTATTTAATCATTTTTAATTGAACAGCGATTAATAATAGACACCGGACTTTTCCTTAATCCAGTCCAAGTAGCTGGTCACCCGAACGAAGCCAGCAGGTTGATTGGCCTGACAGCCTTTCTCGGATACGAAGGCGCTCACACCGATGAGGTACTTGCCGCCCAGGACCAATGGGCCGCCACCGTCGCCTTGGCAGATTGAGGTCTTGCTGGTGGTCCTAACGCAGATCACTCTAGATGAGGCGACTATCTCGCTCCAAACTTTCTGGCACTCCGCGACGGAGATAACTTCGAATGTCGCGTACATCAGGTTCTTGGAATAGTCGCTTGCAGAATCTTTGGTCTTGCCCCATCCGCAGGCGGTGGCCCACTCTCCGGCGTAAGAGGAGTAGGCGCTGGACATGACTGGCAGTCCAACCTTCTGGATGTCGGTGGTGAAGGATACCCATGGAGTCTTGATCAGGGCAATGTTGTTAACCTTATAGAACACACTATAGGTTTCGTGCCTAATAATGTTGCTGGAGTCAACGGTGTGGGTCACCTTGCCGGTGCCCCGCACGTTGGAGCCGTAGTAAATGGTCACTTTTGAGGCACTGTTTCAGGGAGATATCCATTATAATATCCGAAATCTATATTTATTAAATATACTTATAAATGATATTATTTTATATCAGCTGAAAGCTGTTTATTGTGTACTCCCGCTTTAGCTAAAATAAAGCTTCGTAAAATCAATAAAAATACTTCGTATTTAAAAGATTAGTTGTATTTACTATTAATATCATTTCATGAATATTTTCTGTAATATATTTTAATCAAGTCTTTTCAAGTGATCTTCTATGTAACTATATATTTACTTTGAATTAATTAAGGAGGTATACTTGTAACCTATAATTATACTTAGTGAGAGAGAGAATATGAGTTTACTTACACTCCAATTACACTCCAAGTGCATTCGGCAGTGGTCAGGACCCATTCGTTGCTGATGATGGATCCACCGCACCACCAGGTGCCATAATAGTTGCTGAAGCTGAGTCCCACCACGTAGGGAAACTGACCGGCGGAGGCTTTATTGCCGTTGGTGATCCGACCCTCGGACAGATCACTGGAGGAAATTGGCTCTTGAACAGGTAACAAACCGGCGCACGCGGTGGTCAAAACCAAGGCGAAAACTACGAGTACTTTCATAATGGTTGAAAATCGAATGATTCTCCAACGCATTCGGCGGCGCTTATATACCACACACGGCCTCATGTATTTAGACCCCCTAGTTCTTCGATTTCGCGGGAACTTCTTTATCGGTCGTGGCTTTTTATTTTTTACCAGATGTGTATGGCTACTTATCTGATTTGATTGACCAAAGCCAACAAAAAGAAAACCTTAAACGCACTTTACCTGTAAAAAAAATAAGCCAGTACCAGATTTGGGGAAAAGGTAAAATTTAGTATACATTTTACTTATTTTAGGAGTAAAACTTAGACTAATCACAAAATTCTGTATTTAAGGAATTATGCGCTTTATACTTAAAACCCCACTTTCTATGTTAAATTCCCCTCTCCAGTTTTCAGAAGTAAGCTACACAAAACTTAGACTAATCACAAAATTCTGTATTTAAGGAATTATGCGCTTTATACTTAAAACCCCACTTTCTATGTTAAATTCCCCTCTCCAGTTTTCAGAAGTAAGCTACACAAATTATCTACTAAAAACACCCCCTCAACCAAATCCTAGCTACACCACTGCTCACAATAGTCTTCTAAAATTCTAACCATAATACATATCTCTAAAATCATTAAGTTTTTGTTGCATACTTTTCAAGTACTACAAATTCCTCTTTGCTTTTTTTTTGGCTTCGATCAATCAAATCCGATAAGTATCACTAAATTCTCTCTGGTCGAAAAAAAAAATATGGAAAAGCCACGACTGATAAGGCATTTCACACTTATAAACAAAAATGACTTAGCCAGATTACAAGAGGCCCGGCACCTGATAACCGGCCCAATAGAATGGTATATAAGTGCCGTCCAGTCCGGAGGAGAATCATTCGTTCTTCGACCATCATGAAAGTGCTCGTAGTCCTCGCCTTGGCTCTGGCCACCGCCTCCGCTGGCATTCTGCCCCAGCAGACCCCAGTCCACCCCAAGGACCTGCCCGCCGTGCCCTCGATCGAGGGTCGCATCACCAACGGCAAGACCGCCTCCGAAGGCCAGTTCACCTACCAGGTGGGACTTAGCTTCAGCAGCTCCAGCGGAGGCTGGTGGTGCGGTGGCTCCATCATCGGTAACCAATGGGTGCTGACCGCTGCTCACTGCACTTCCGGGTAAGTAATTGGGTTTGTTTAATTTCGGTTTTTTTAATGGATGTCTTCCTGGTACAGTGCCTCCTCTGTGACCATCTACTACGGCGCCACCGTCCGCACCAGCGCCAAGTTGACCCTGACCGTCTCCAGCTCCAGCTTCACTCAGCACGCCAGCTACAACTCGAACACGTTGAAGAACGACATTTCCCTGATCAAGACCTCGACGGTGTCCTTCACCAATTACATCAACAAGGTTGTGTTGCCCTCTATCGCCAGCTCCTACTCCACTTACGCCGGACAGAAGGCTATCGCATCCGGATGGGGCAAGACCTCTGATTCCGCCTCCGGTGTGGCCAGCACTCTGCAGTACGAGACCTTCGATGTTGTGTCCGTCGCCACCTGCCAGAATTCCTATGGCTCTGTGGTTGCCTCGTCCACTGTGATCTGCATTGCCACCCCCAACAAGACCTCCACCTGCAGCGGCGACTCTGGCGGCCCATTGGTCCTGGTCAGCGACTCGAAACTTATCGGTGTGACCTCCTTCGTGTCCAGCGCTGGTTGCGAGTCCGGTGCCCCCGCTGGCTTCACCCGTGTGACCAGCTACTTGGACTGGATCAAGAGCAACTCTGGTATTTCCTACTAAGCACCTTTCAAATAAAGAACGATTATTGACTAATATTGGGTGTTTACTTTATTGAGGGTATTACTGACCACGAAGTAATTCGAAATACTAGGGAGCTAATGCCCAAATTAACTCCCAGAATTTTCTCTGAGTAGATACAAAACATATATTAGTTTATAACAGGGACCGTAAGTAACAGTTATTTGAGACTTTTATTTTAGAAAGACTACTGTGATATTTTGTTTTAAATGTCAAAAATAACACTTTTTTTATTCTTGTCCACAAAGCATATGCATTTCAACAAATCTGGAAAGCAAATTAACTGTTATTTGTCCATGTCTATAAAGTGCATAAAAACCAGTAAAATTGTTGATAAAAAATTGAACAAATCTCAGTAGGCCTTTTAAAATAAAAGTCTCAATTAACTGTTATTTACGGTCCCTGGTTTATAAGGGCCGTTTTCGGTCGTTTTTTAAATTTAAAATACGGTTAAAACCATGAAATTGTATAAAAATTTCAACAGGAAGATGATCGATGCATTACTTAAGCAATGAATTTTTCTTTTTTATCGCCACCATTGAAAACATTTAACTTTTTAAAACTTTAACATAGAAATGAAAAGCAGTTTAAGCAAGAGCGAACGCTATAGTCGAGTACTTCGACTATCAGATACCCGTTACTTAGCTAAAGGGAATGCGAGGGAGATGGAGATATGAAGACGTCAAAGCTACTGGCTCCATCTAGTGGCCGCTACAGGCTCCATCTAGCAGCCATTTAATTTTTTTAACATAACTGTTTAATGGATTGTCCGATTTTAAAATTTTAAAAAACACCACAAAATGGCATTTAAACTTTTACAAAATATGTAAATATGTGGGCTCCAGGCTTCTTTAAAAGAAAAACCACATGAAGCATGTGACAGTCACTCCAATGCACGTAAAATAATAACTACTAAAAATATTTCAACCAAACCAAGTATAAGTCAATAATCGTTTTTTTATTTGAAAGGTACTTATTTTTCAACACCAGAGTTATCCTTGATCCAGTCCAAGTAGCTGGTCACACGAGTGAAGCCAGCGGGGGCACCGGACTCGCAGCCAGCGCTGGACACAAAGGAGGTCACTCCGATAAGTACCTTGGAGCTGGCCAGGACCAATGGGCCGCCAGAGTCGCCGTTGCAGGTGGAGGTCTTGTTGGGGGTGGCAATGCAGATCACCTTGGAGGTGGCGATCAGGGTGCCGTAGGTATTCTGGCAGGTGGCGACGGACACAACATCGAAGGTCTCGTACTGCAGAGTTTCGGCCACGGTGGAGGCGGCATCAGAGGTCTTGCCCCATCCGGAGGCGATGGCCTTCTCTCCGGCATAAGTGGAGTAGGAGCTGGCGATGGCGGGCAGCGCAACCTTGTTGATGTAGGTGGTAAAGGCAACCGACGGGGTCTTGATCAGGGAAATGTCGTTCCTCAACACAACCGAGTTGTAGCTGGCGTGCTGAATGAAGTTGGAGCTAGCCACGGTGTGGGTCACCTTGGCGTTGGTGCGGACGGTGGCGCCGTAGTAAACGGTCACAGCGGAGGCACTGTAACAGAAAGATAACAATTATAAAAATCGAAATCTATCAAACCTATAAAGTATATATTCTTGATCAAGATCACTAGACTAGATCGACGTGTAAAAAATATTTCCAAAGGGACTATTCATCAAAAAGTTATAAGTTAATAAGGGAGTGGCTGCAAGATAGTCGCTGTGCAGCAGTCACATCTGTATCTCCATCGCGCTTTTGTTAGCTGAGTAACGGGTAACGGTTTTTCAGTTTTCTCAATTTTATTTTAAATACGTAAAACATATAAATTCCTTTTAAATTCATATATATTTGTTTTTATACCCTTGCAGAGGGTATTATGATTTCAGTCAGAAGTTTGCAACGCAGTGAAGGAGACGTTTCCGACCCCATAAAGTATATATATTCTTGATCAGCATCACTAGACGAGTCGATCTAGCCATGTCCGTGTGTCCGTCTGTCCGTCCGTCTGTCCGTCCGTCTGTCCGTCCGTTTCTACGCAAACTAGTCTCTCAGTTTTAAAGCTATCGGGATGAAACTTTCGCAAAAGTCGTATTTCTATTGCAGGTAGTATATATGTCGGAACCGACCGGATCGGACAACTATATCTTATTTTGGTTTATTTTTGTTGGTTTTTATTACATTTCCTTCTACTCTGGGATATGACTATTTTGAAATATTTCCGAATTTCGATTTTAATTTTTAAAAGATCGAACTACTATATCATATAGCTGTAATAGAAACGATCGAAAAATTAATGTGAAATAAAAAGAAATTTAACATTTTTGCGATTTGTAAATTAATAGAATGATCTGCAAGGGTATATAAGCTTCGGCTTGCCGAAGCTAGCTTCCTTTCTTGTTTTTAATTAGAGTTTAGAAATGAAGTTTTGTAATAAACCTTTTCTTCTTTATGATAGATTAAAGGGAATAAGTTCACTTACCCGGAAGTGCAGTGGGCAGCGGTCAGCACCCATTGGTTATCGATGATGGAGCCACCGCACCACCAGCTGCCGCTGGTGCTGGCGAAGCTGAGTCCCACCTGGTAGGGGAACTCTCCTTCGACGGCGGTCTTGCCGTTGGTGATGCGACCCTGGATCGAGGGCACGGCGGGCAGGTCACGAGGGTGGACCGGGGCCTCCTTGGGCAGGAGACTGGCGGAGGCGGTGGCCAGGGCCAAGGCGAAGACTACGAGCACTTTCATGATGGTCGAAGAACGAATGATTCTCCAGCGGACTGGCTAGCACTTATATACCATTATCGGCTGCCGGGCCTCTTGTATTCTGACCAAGTCATTTCTGTTTATGCGCGTGAAATTGCTTATCAGTCGTGGCTTTTTCTGATTTTTTTTATTTCCGCCAGAGAGGATGTAGTGGTACTTATCGGCTTTGATTGACCGAAAGCCAAAAAAAAGTATCTGCTGTTATCGGACTTGTGGGAAAGCAATGAGATTACACACCGCAGGCTTTCAATTAAACGCACTTCACAGGCGAACAGGCGGCAGACGTCGCCCACTCGAGTGATAAGTGATAAGAGATAAGCTTAGATTTCGCTAGATGACGGCAGTGCTATTTCGCCTTTGGCTAACGGACGACTTTTGATGACTTTTGCACTGCTTAACTTATATTAAAGTATATATTTTTAGCTGGGAAAATCCGGCTAAACGAAATCGCTCTAATCGAATTATTTGATTCTTTCAACGGCGATCGATCAGAAATTGTTTACGGTGACTCTCGACGAAGTGTGGAGTGGCTGAAATACCCAGAGATTATCTGATGGTCGTGAGACCGAAATCGTATTAAGCATACGCAGCGGTGTGCCAAAGTTGCCAACTCATTTTGTGTGGGCGGGCAGATGACAGTGGCAAGTTGAATCTGGGAAATTGAAATCAAATCGCCTTACGTGTCGGGCATGCAAAAGCAAGCCGGATTTTCGGATTCAGGCTCCAGCCGGACATTAGCACATAAAAACAATTCATTGCCTTTCATGCTGACACATGTAGTATGTAGTTTGCCGCCGGCCAGTGACTTTTGTGGGCCACTGTGCGTGTCTGGCCCATAAATGCCAGGCATAAAATAGATTTTCCCCCTTGAAGAGTAGTAAACACTTGGCCTGGAAAATTTTTCATTTATTTAATCCCTATATCAACTGCATTCTATTGATTTTCCTTCGTCCTGTTGAGCGTTTTTATGGTTGCTCCTTTCGCTGATTGCGGGAAAATTCGCTTCTTTTGTCTCTGTCTCTCAGGGGGAACAAAAGAAACTAATTTTCTTGAAATATTTGCTCTCATTGTTGGCTGAGCACCCAGTCTTAAAGCAACCAAAAAAATGAAAGGGTCGCACTTTAAATTGCTGGCAGAGATGTATGTAATACACTTATATATAAATGTATATTACGTATACGTAATGCGCTCACCCGACACACACGCTTATTAGACGCATTTCCGGCTGCGACAACGACAGCCTGAACAACAATGTCCAGTCCTCTCGGATAAAAGGAAAACTCAGCTCGCTCCTTCAGTTGCGTAGAAGGGGGCGAGAAAGAAAGGGACCCGAATATTCATCTGGATGTGACTACGCCTCTGGCTTAAGCAGATATAAACACAGTTGGGTTGAAAATAATAGCAGCATAAATAATCATTAATTTTTACCAAAAATATAATTTTATCTTTTAACATTAATGAAAATAGAAATAATTGTTAAGCAGAATAAAATTAAGGATATTTATATTAAAAGTTGTAATATTAATAAATTTGTGAAAATAACTTGCAATGGGTAATATATTTTCAGTCAAAAATATTTAAATCTCTAAATTTTATAACATTTTTAAAATCCATTAAAAACAAGTTATTAATTTCCTTGCTGCTAATATTATGACTTGTGATGTATGTGTGTACAAGTGTCCTTAGGAAGGCATTTGAAATGTCCCCCAGCGTGCGCTCTCCTTTGACGAGAAAGAGGAAAAGGACGAGACGACGACGACAAACAAGATTGCAGCAATAAAATTTCGACAAGTGAACAACAAATGATAAACGAAGCAGCAGCTTGGGATAAAAAGCAGCAGCAGCGGCAGCGAAAGGAGCAGTTCCCTGAGAGGTCAGTTTCGTTCTTGGGGAGCACTTGAAATGCTGGTGGCTGGCCAAGGATTCCGATTCCGTCCGGCTCACTTCAGCTGTGTTTGGACCTCTTCGGGGCAGCCATCTAATGTGAGCCGCATCGATTACGCTTCTACTTCCAATGGCACTCGGATTGTGTGTTTTGGCTGTCGCTATATATCCCCAATCCAATAATGTGGTATATGGCACTGGGAAAAATTTATAAAATATATTATATTGAAAGTATTCATAAAGTAAAAGTTATAAAAGTAAGATAATTTTGTAATATTTTATTTAATATTTTTGGATCCTGTTAAAAAGTATATGACTGAGAAAATCTTATTAGATAACGAATATTATTAAAATTAATAGTAAAAAAAATCAGAAATACATTTTATCTACCTACTATAGGATTTTTTGTTGTAGTATATTTTTTTCCAGTGCAGCAAAGATCGGTCAGATGAGTTTTTTGTGTTAAATTGTCATGAAAATGTCGCTGTGCCTGCGGTCAGCTCAAGACATCCGTCTCCGACTCCTTGTTGACCAGAATTAATGACAACTGTCTGGCCCAGCTGACCCGCCCACCCAACCACCCCTCTACCCACTTCTTGGCCCTGTCGCTGATGACTTATCACAGGGAACTATGTCTATTTCCTGCTATAATTCAAATTGCTTTTGGGGATGTCAACAGCAGCCGCCTCATTAATCATGCCGCCCGGGATAGTCTCACATTGCGTATGAGTAATGTGTTTGCCAGCCACCTTTTTTACTGAAGGTTTCCTCAGAACTCAGAGCCAACAACTTATCGCCTCATTTTATATCATCCCGTCTTCAAGATGTTACTGAAACCCAAACCCCTGGTGAAAATGCATTGGGAAAGTTTGCTTTTTATTTTTTTCCAAAATGCAATTTGCCGCTGCACTTGGGTGGTAAGTAGAGATGTTAGCGTGACTCACGTTTGAGTAAAGGGTGCGCCCTCCCTCCCTCAACTCTGTGACCTAAGTTAACCCAGGACTTAGCAGGTCCCGGGACTTGGTCAAAGTTTTGTGTTTGCAGTTTGTCAACTCGTTTTTAATGCGCGATGTATTGAAAAAGTTTGATTAGGGAGCAGCTGGCAGACTGGGGAGCTCTTTCCAAGTCTCCAACTCCACCTGAGTGCAATTTTCGAACAGAAAACTTGATAAAAAGGGAGCTTAGCGGCGACAGAGTGACGGAAAGTGGTTGTAAGCATTGCACATACGGCATGTTGTCCCAATACAGTGACTTCGACCAACTGTCAATATTCTGACACAAATCCGACGAACAGACGACAAACACAAGTGGCCACCATTAAATTTTATGCGCAGGGATCAAACTAAGTTATTATATGGGAGTTTGGGTACACATAAATGTATATTATATACATCGAGTTGGCTGGGCAAATATTTGAGAAAAACGCAGAGCGAGGACAATTTTTGCTTTCTCTGTGATTTTCTATCAATAAGCTGACGGCATCCCGTCGGCTTTTGCATATGATAAGGCTCAGTCTTTTTCCAGCTCGAAATATATAAATATAAATTCCTGCCATGCAAACAAATCCTTTTCGATAGATTGCTTTTGGCTCTCCCATTTTTTTTTCGCCGCCGTTCGCTTTTATTATTGTGTGCCAACGCCAAGGATTTTTGTCTACTCCGACAATTGGATTTCCACGGAGTGAAGGACGAAGTCGGGTGGATTTTTCGGGGCGAAACAAGTACGTGTCCCCATCGGAGGTGGTACTTGTCTGCTTATTGGCATTGGCACATCCCAGAAAGGAAAAAAAAGATGATTCCGCTCGGGCCGTATCAATGACTTTTGAATACCCACCGTGGATTCCTCCTATTGTTCCGGGCATTCTTGGCACCGAATATTGCAACTTTTCCTTTGTATATTTGCAGTTTCTTGTCTGACAGAATTTGAATGCAGTCTGATATTTTCGCCGGAGTACGGGAATAGTTAATATCCTGTGCAGATTGTTCATTCATTCGGGAATCTCCCTTTTGTTGAGACTTCATTAATGCCAGAAATTTATGCGATCCTCTGCTGAAATATCTCCGCATTCCGCTTGATGTAATGTCTGCCGCTTGTGTTGTGTCGGAAAATATATAACTACTCATCAAATTTTAGCTTGCAAATATTTATATGAATATGCAGCTGGGGCTGGCAAATGCTTTATGGCTTATAAACATTTTGTTTGCCAATATTTTTTCTGTGTTTTGCTCTCGTTGCTCTTGTTGTAAATTCGGTTTATTGTTTTCTATATATTTTTCTGCTTGAACGCACTAAAAGCCACTCCACTGCCAGTCAACCATTCAATCCACCTTCCTTTCGGACGGGTTCCTCCCATATTTCCTCCCCGATGCCGGCATTTGTTTGCTTTATGTCTTTATTTTGTGCCCTGCCGGAGGAGCAAAGTATTATTATTTTTTGCCCTACTCTTGCAGCCAGTCCTCGCTGCTCCTCTCCTTTTTTTACTGAGTGATGGCTCTAGGTAATGCCAGGATACCAGGACGGAGGCATGGGGATTTCGGTGAGTGCTCTCTGAGCGGCTTTGCATATGGCCCTGAGTGTGTGGACTATCTACTTGATATGTGCTCGGTGCTTTTGGGGAAGTTTTCAAGACCCGGAGATGTTTCAATTATTGTTACCGTTTGTTAGCCTAAAAGCAAACGCACTTCTTTAAGTAGTTCTCGAGTTCTATATATGGAGAATGTACAGAAAGTAAGCCATTAACTTTTCCCGTCAATCAATTGTCACTCCCAAAGGGAAAACAAAGAGGCAGGAAAAAAAGAAACATGAAAACAAAAGGCACGAGACCATGACAAGACATTTTACTTCCATGTGAATGAAATGAAATTAAGAGAAAAGGGGAAGTATGTTTTCGACAGCAGGAATTGTGGACTAAGAATTGCTCTAACAATTGATTTGGTTGCTTAGATTACCCAAGAAACTGGGAATGTTAAGACATTAATGAGATTGTAGACTTTTTTATCAATAGGAAAGTTACAGCTACATGTAGCTGATAAATGGAATTTTGTTTGTACCTCCAATTAAATTGTTATAATCTTTAGCTTTAGAGTATTTAGATACCAGAAAATCCCCCTTTTCTTTTATTGATAATATGGCGGGAAAATCTTTTTACAAATGATAAACAATTATTATTTCTTTCAAAATAAGTTTTAGTAAAGAACGTATTATTGCGCTAAAATTAAATCATATCTTATCAATGAGACAGTAGTTGCAGAAATTGAATGAATTGCAAGAAAATACGAATTTTCTTATCAATAGATTCATTAAATGACTTTCATGTTTAAAAAAAAATGTTTATCAAAATAAATAAAAATATTTTTGTTTATTTAGAAGAAAGTTATATAAAACATTACGTAAATATTTAGCTAAAAAACGGCACAAAATTAAATAGAAAGCTTCACAGCTCATCAAAGGAGCCCACTTGGACCAGAACAAGTGTAGGCCACTCCATCAGCAGTCAAGGCAGAAGGCAAACCAGCCAAAACTCTTTGTCTCCGGGTCCAAACAAAAAACCAGCGAACTTTGCCGTCAAGTCATTGTGGTGGATGCTGAGTGAACTTGTTTCGGGCGTTGGTGGTTCAAGTGGAGCCACCAGCAGAGCCGCACCAAGACCCAAGTGTTGTTTGGATTTCATTATACAATTATCTTGTTACCAGAAATAATGGTGTCGGGCCGGGCAACATGCCAAAAGCATTCAATGAGCCCGATGCGCCTTCCACTTACCCCCCAGTCTTTCCCAATGGGTGGGTGTTTGGACTGTCAGTCAGTCAGTCAGTTATCCCATACCAAACCGAAAACCAACCCAATCTCTAACACATCCACACACATGTGGGGAAGCCGGATGCTGAGCGCGTTAGGAAAAGCAGGAAGTCATTAGCCGAAAAAACTCTGGTGATGGCGGTTCCAACTGGGGTTGCTTAAGCGGGGAGGAAAGAGCCCAGTAATGCGATAAATAAATGAAAATGTTTGAGTTAAATGAATTAAGTGTGCGATACTCTCTACTCAGTGTGTGCTTGTGTTTTTTGTTTGGTTTTTGGCATGGGGCCTTTTTGTTAGAAACACTTTCTGTGTTGGCCTGTCATCGCAAGTGACTTGGGATTGTTAAGTGCTAGAGCAATAGTAATTGTTGGGCGCTTAATTAGCCGAACATCATTCAAAGTGTCACAGGCACACGGCCAACTAAGGGGTTAAGAAAATGCCAGTCAAAGTTTTTGCCAACTTAAATTACACTAGTTTACAGCCGAAATGCTCCCCAGCAATTGATGGCAAATTCAGTTAGTGTTGGACCTCTAGACCACGAAAATAGCATTAATTTTTTTTTCGATGGCACAGTTTTTTTTTAAAGATTTTTTAAAGTTCGAAATGTTAAATATCTGACTTTTTTCGAATTTTTTCTTATATCTCGGCAGATATCCACTCGATTGGGCCAGTTTTAGTTTTATTTTAAAGTCAATAGATCAGAGTTTAACTTTGCGATACAGATCTATATGATTGGATAAGTAATGGCAGCGCAGAAGCTCGACAAAGATGGAAAAGTGTTTTTAGGTCGACTGTAAGTCGTCTGTATATATCGTAAAAACTCGAAATAATTCCGTTGAAAAATCATAATGGGTACAAACTTAAAGTTTAGATCCTACCGAATAAAACAAGCCGGATATGGACCAAATCCATGGAAAACCGGATTTATAATGGATTTTTAAAGTTCGGATTTTTCCACTTTTTTCGGTTGACAGAGTCCAAATTTAAGATTTATCATAGGTGGCGACATGTAAACAAAAATAATTGGTGTTGGCATTCTAACAGAATTTGACATCAATTGCTGGGGAGCACACCAAGAATATTATTTTGTAAACTAGTGTTATTTCTCCAACTACTCTATCAAAATGATCGGGGGCTGTATTTTGCAGTCAAAGTGGTGACCCAGAAATTCCAAAGTTGAAGCGGTTAACTAAATATCAACTTATGATTTAGCAAAGTTAGCTAGTAAGTTCAGCCAAGAAAAAATGAAATAAAAAAACCTACTTAAATATCTCTTTGTGTAATTGCGGTCTGACCTAAGGGGTAAAGCCAAAATTCTGTTTCTAATTAAATTGTTTTTCATGCTGAGTATAACATCATCATCATAAACCCCATTACAACTACAACTATTCGAAGTCAGGCTCATTTTCGCCATGTGGTGACCCCGAAATGCTGACTTTGCAGAGTCTGCTTTTTCTTTTTTTGATATTTTCGGTTGGCTAATTCCGACTCCACTTAATTAATTATGTAGCCGAATCTTGGCCCCCGCCAAAAATCGTTAATTAAGTTGATTGCTTTCAATTGGCTGGCATTTATTAGCCGGGATTGCGTTGTTGACTCGCCAGTCGAAAAGTCCCGAATCGGCCCCCTCCGCCCTTTTATTTGGCCATAATTGATGAGCTGACAGTTCGTTAATTGATTTTGCTCTGTGATTAGAGCTCCATACGAGCTCCATGCGAGAATTGATTTTATTAGCTGCCATTTGAAGGGGAGCTAAATATTTAATTGGTGCGAAGTGGGTCAGAGGCCAAGGCCCTTGGCCCAAAGGTGCCAGGACATAAATAAGTAAATTAAAGTCAATGCAAATTCCGGCTACCGGATATTCGTCGTCTCTGTGTCCGCAGGCTGGTAAAATATTTTGCCAATAAAGTGAATCAAAGAAAACCATTTGACCAACTGACTGTCATTGGGAAAGTCAGGCCGAAATGCCCCATCAACGAAGTTCACTTCAATCTGGGAAAAGCAGGGAAATGAAGTTTGCGGCCAAGAAGGAGGCGAACTTTGGGGCGTTCAATCAGAGCAGCATTGCAACTGGGCAAAGTGGATTTTAAATAAAAAACTTTGGCCATAAACACTCGTTGTCCGCTTTCTGGGTTGACATTTTAACTAACTTTACCGCCACACACTCACATACCCATAGTGAGTAGTAACTTCTGCGTTTTTTATTTCGGGGGCCATGTATGATATTTTGTCATATCTAAACCACAGAATACGAGTGCAGGAAACTTTTTGTGCTGTCATAAATTTCCGCAATGCAAACATTTATCAGCACGACTGGACCCCTTAACTCTCGGCTGGGAGTTGGGGGTCTCCCGTTTCCATTCCCATTCTCCCTTCAAGCTCAGCTGCTGCTATTTTCCCTGACTGACTTTGTTATGTCTCTGGATTTGGATCTGGTTTTTGGTTTCTGTTCCTGTTTCCATCTCCGTCTCTGCTTTCTGTCGCTTGGCTCGTGTTGAGTAAATGCTTTTTATGCGGAACCGCAGGACCATCTGGTCGGGACTGGTTTTTAGGCACCACCTGCCATCCTTCCACATGTGAGGTCCCTACACTGTTGGAAATTCCCATCAAAAAGTCCTCGAATTTGATGGCCTGAAAATAATAAGTGCTGCGAATAAAGAAACAACTTTCGTCATTTATTTAAATGCCTCGTAATAATTCAAGTGTTGACATATTGTCTGCGTTTTTCTTTTGACTTTTACTTGGGCGAAACTTTTCCTTATTTGCCTGTTTTTTTCAGCTTGCTCTGAAGTTTTCAGTTTTTATTGTGTCGCTTGGCAATTTAATGAATTTTAATGAGAGCATGTAACAGCTTGGCCAACTTTCACTTTTAATTGTCGATTATTTTACTTTATGTTCATTTATTTCATGATATTAATATTTTTTGTTTTAAACGTTAAATTTGTTTCATTTTAATTGGTGTAAATAAATAGATTTGTTCTTTCTTAAGATTATGAATAAACAAATTTCATTTAAATTTTGTTTTGTTTTAGTAATTCTTTGTAAGCTTCATCATAGCCACCATCGGTAGTTTTGGATCTCGAGAGTGCGAAAACATTCGGTTGTGCCCATATTACCCCCGTGGATCAGGGCTTTGTTTGGAACTCCCCCTTTGAAACATAAACCGCTTAAAGTTCGTTAGAAATGATTTTTATATTTTTGCGAAATGATCGTTCCCCATCTAGTAAGAGATGCCAGTGTTGGACTTGATCCAGTCCACGTAGCTGGTCACACGGGTGAAGGCAGCTGGGTAGCCCTTCTGGCAACCGGCAGAAGCACCGAAGGAGGTAGCACCGATCAGAACCTTGGAGGAGGACAGAACCAGAGGGCCGCCGGAGTCACCGTTGCAGGTGGACTGACCGTTGGGGGTGGCGACGCAGATGTTGGAGGAGGTCACGATCGAGGATCCGTAGGTGTTGGCACACACGCTGTTGGCGATCACAGTCAAGGCGACGTAGTACAGTTCGTTGGCCACCGAGTTGGACGTATCACTGGTGCGGCCCCATCCGGAGGCGATAGCGGAATCACCGGTATAGGTCGAGTAAGAGCTGGCGATCGATGGGAGCTTGACAGCCTGGATATTGGTGGTGTAGGCGACACTGGGGATCTTGATCAGGGAGATGTCGTTCTTCAAGTTGGCGCTGTTCCAGCCGGAGTGGATGATGATGTCGGAGCTGGAGACGGTGGCGGTAACCTCGGCGGCGGTACGCACGGTGGCGCCCAGGTAGACGGTCACGGACGAAATTCTGTGATGGACGAGAATATGAAAATATAAATAGAATATGTATATTATATAGAATATGTAAAAAAGGACACTCACCCATCGGTACAGTGAGCAGCGGTCAGGACCCAGGAGTTTCCGATCAGGGAGCCACCGCACCAGGCGCTGGACAGAGCGCTCACTCGCAGGGAAAGTCCCACCTGGTAGGGGAACTGGCCGACGGAGGCTTTGCTTCCTCCGGTGATGCGACCCTCGATGCTGCCAACCACGGGCATCTCGCGGCTGCGGTGGTGGAGCTCCGACTCCGGGAAAGCGGAGGCGGCCACGGCCAGGGCAAGGATGATCAGGAACTTCATCTCGGGAATTGTTGCTTGTTCAGTTAAAGGAACTCAACTGGTCTTCCAAGGCCCGCCAGGGGTCTTTTATAGTGGAAAAATCGCCTGTGATTAGGTTGCACTTCACAAATAGACCTGTCGCGATTAGATAGAGGGCCTCCAAAGTCGGTTCGAACTACCTTATCTGCCGAGATTTTGTGCAGAAGATATGAATGAATGAACTTCAGCCACACGGCCGCCAAAATTACTTTCCCAATCCTAGAATCCCGATATGGATCTAATCTGGGCAGTGGGCCGGCCTCAGGTGGATTTCCAGATTGCACTGGTGCGATACCGAAAGCCGAGCATGAGGTTGCTAATTAATTTGATTAGTTTTAAACATAAAAGATATATAGAGTATATATACAAAACTGGCAAAGGTTTGCGTGTGCCGCTTGCGTATCTTAGAAGTCGGTTACTATTACTATCTTATCGCTTGTCTATAGGGAGAGATACTCTGTAAGCCTACAGTTTAGCAGGTTTGACGGCTTGTTTGTTTGTTTACCTTCAGGAAAGGTCAAGGAGGAGGACGTGAGTCGGTCAGGACTGGCGAAAACCCCTTTTGACAGCTGAATAATAAAACCCAAATTATTTGCGCATTGGGTGTCTCTTTTCCATTTACGATTATAAACAAACAAAGTTCGATTGTTTTCGCAACCGCAGCCGTTCTTTATCAGCGATTGCCGCGTGATTTGATGACGCGTTTGGCTGACCACATCGCTGCGGTTAATGGCCAATTCGGATGGCCAATTAAAGACGATTAGCTGAGAAAGGAGTGGATGAGGGCTGTAACAAAGATAAAGGCGAATTCATCAGCAATTTCCACTGGAATATTTTATTTTCCTTTTATTGAGCTCCCCAAATTGACTTGGTCTGCTGTAATGCCGAAATGTTTATTGTTATTTATCGGTAACAATTTCCATTCAAGGGAAAACAACCACCCATTAAATGAACCATTTTCACCTTCCCTTCTCGGCAGGAACCTGTCGGTCGTCTCGGTTTCAGTGCTCAAATTGGTTTTATTGTCTGGCCCGAGACTATATTGTTTAGCAATTAATGGTCTGCAATTAGGCGTTAATTGCATTTAGTTGGTCATTGCCGTTTGTTGTCGGATCCATGGCAAATATGCGGTTATCCTGGCGTAGGCAGTGGGCGCCCCCACCTCGCAGCCCTCGACGCTGCCGAACGAGGTGACCCCGATCAGGTAGCTGACGTTGCGCCAGTGGTAAACCAATGGTCCACCGGAGTCGCCGTTGCAGCCACCTCGTCCATTTTGTCCATCGGTGCACAGGTGACGCTGGCCAACCAATCCTGGCAGGAAATAGCAGATGCAGCGTTCCTGATTGATCACCTCCGCATCCAAGTACTGAAGAATTCGCGTTTCACTGCCGGGTGAGTCTCCTAATCTTCCCCAGCCAGATAGGGTCACCACTTGACCTTCCAAAAACGTTTGATGCATAAACTCTCCAGCCAGCTCTATGGGTTGCACTCGATCCGAGGTGATGACCTTTCTCGTCAGTCGTATCAAAGCCAAGTCATTGTATCCCCCGAAGCCCAAGTAATCCGGATGGGTGAAGAAATCCCGATGTGTTACCAAAATAACTTCGGCGGAGTCTTCAGAGTCGGCGAATATTGTGGCACCTGTGTAAATTCTTGCCCCGATGGCATCGATTAAACAGTGAGCTGCGGTCAACACAAACTGAAGGGTGATAAGGGAACCACCGCACTTGAAGAGATCGCCACCACTCTGCTGAATCACCAGACCCACTTGATAGGGAAACATGCCACGTGCCGCCAGTTCTCCACCTGCAATTCGAGTGTTTACTGGGGAGGTTTGATTCAGCTCCTCTTCGAATTTCTCGCAGCGAAGACGCCAGTTTTCATAGCCCAGTTGAAAACGTTTCTCCATAATTGTTTCATCATCAACAGGAGACTCCTCTGCAGTGTCTTCAAAACTATCCAGCCAAGTTTTTGCTGAGACTACCAGTATTGGTAAAAGTAGGCAGAGAAGTGGCGTCATTCGTAGCGCCATCTTATCACTGAAAATATACGAAATATAATAAGGGGAGTACCCCGTAATTGCAATCCTTAAGTGTTTATTTGGAAATTCTTTTTCATATGAAGAGGGTGCTCCTTTCTTTATCAAAATCATTTTATGATGAACGAAAATGATGAATGAATTCACCTTTTTCGTTTTGCCAATGACTTACACTCAGATATCTGAGGTCGTAATAAGTAAGTCCACGTTGAGGTCTGAGTGGGCTCTTCATGTGAAGTACTGGCGTTGTTGTTGTTTTAGCTGGTGTTTTTATATAGTCAGCTATTGTGGCATCAACATTGCGTCGACGTCTTGGTTGTGGCACGTGTCCGATTCGTCTGTTAATTGAATTTGCCTGGGCCAGTGCAAATTATACCCACGGAGATGGGAAGAGCAGCAGATGTTTGGCATTCAATTCCTCAAGCTCCCGTGTAATTGCCGCACGTTTCGGCGATTATGTTGCTTAGGCCATAGGCCTTCGACTTGGACTTGGACTCCCTTTGGCCAAATGCAGTCGCCTTAATTGCTTTCGAACCACTCATTTTGCGGGGCCTTCAATTGCACGATTTCTGGTTTAGCCCCATAATGTCTGGGTCGGGGTCTCTATAAATTTATTGACTGCCGTTTTATCAGCGCTTAGTTTATTATTTGTTTAATTTACTGCACGCCTTTGCTTGCATTTCGACACATGAAAAGGCCGTTGATAATGTTCCGGGAGCTAAATGGCTTTAAGGTATTACACACCAAGGCCCAATATCCGTCATTTGGTTTCATATTGATCATAAATTACGTACTTAAGATCATAAGTTATAAGTAAATTTACTTGGTGTTTCAGAGCCACAAATATTTAATAACTTTCTTAGGAAATTAAATCAAAAGGAAATAGTTTAAAAGTTAACACTCACACTTATTTAGGGTATTTTAGTTTAAGTTTGGATATTCCCTATCCAATTTCTTACAAAATTTATATAAATTGGCTTGTTCTTTTGCAGGACAATGTAAAGAAAACATCAATTCATTTTATTTTAAGGATAAAAAAATCGTTTTATTTTGTGTGCGATAAGTGGTGTAAAATCAGTTTTTTACTGCTTAATATCGGTGTTGGCCAGGATCCAGGGCACGTAGTAGGCAACACTGGTGAATGCAGCGGGAAGGCCAGCTTCGCAACCACTAGCCGATCCAAAGGAGGTGGCACCGATGAGGGTCTTGTCATACACCAATGGGCCGCCTGAGTCACCCTGGCAAGTGGAGGACTTGTTGTCCGTGCCAACGCAAAGAATCCTATTAGTGACAATTAGGCTTCCAAAGGTATCCTCGCAAACGGACTTCGCAATGATGGGGAGGTCGACATACTGGAGATCCTTATGCACGGCGGTGGCAGAATCTGAAACAAGGCCCCATCCGGAGGCAACGGCTGTCTTTCCAACCAAGGAGGTGTAGCTAGAGGAGCTGGCGGGCAGGGCGATCGTGTTGACAGCGGCAGAGAGGGAAACGTCGGAGATCTTGATCAGCGAGATATCGTTGCGGATGATCGCAGACAAGTAGCTTTCGTGCTGGATGAAGTTCGAGCTGGCGACGGTTTGGGTGAACTTGGGGCTGGTACGAACGGTGGCACCGAAGTTGATGGTTACGCTAGCGGCTCTGCATTGAGGATTCTCTCATTAGACGGGATCCTATAAAGGATCTGTATTAAAGGCAACTTACCCGTCGGTACAGTGAGCAGCAGTCAACACCCAGCGAGTGCTGATGAGGGAGCCACCGCACCACCAACCTCCCTGAGAGCTGGAGAAGGCGAGTCCCAGCTGGTAGGGGAACTGGTCGGCCACGGCGTCCTTGCCGTTGGTGATGCGACCATTGATCGATGGGGTCGAGACCCTGTCGCGAGGATGGACAGGAGCGACCTTGGGCAGGAGCCCGGCGGAGGCGGAGGCCAGAGCCAGAACCAAAACTACGAGAACCTTCATGCTGTTGCTCAAACTATGAGTGATTATTCGCTTCTCTGGGGCCCTCTTTTATACCCAAACTATAGAATCTTATCTCCATAGATGGCTGGCCAGTCCACTTGAATGCTCTGATTACATTTCGCAGAATTTTTTATCAGTTTATTTTTTTTTTTGGTGCTTTTGTAATATATTTCTAGACTGATAAGATTTTAAAGTACTGGCACTCATTTGCCTATCAATTACCTTAAACTTGGAAGCAAAGACATTTTAACATGGTTAAATAATCGTTATATTTTACTTACTCACCCATATGTATTACCTTATCATTGCTGATTTTTTACTTCTTTATCTATATAGTAAACAATATAAATAAATAATCTAAAAGCAAACCTTTGTTAAGGCAAATTTATTATTTAATTCTAGGTAATATGGGAACGTAGTTTCCCCTATTGATGTAACATATTTGTGAGGCATCGATGTTCTCCACAATAAAATTTGTAAATTCCTTATAAGACTAAAGGATTTTATAAATTTACAATTATTGTGTCCCTATATTGATAAGATCTTAGTATATAATGACCCCTATTAGCAGGTAATTTTCACTCAGTCAAGTGTAATCGATCAGAATGAAGGTCTTTGTGGTTGTGATCCTAGCAATTGCAACCGTTTCTGCGGGTGTTTTGCCTCAGGTTGATACTCCAGTGCATCCTCGTGACCTTGTGGATGCTCCATCCATTGAAGGTCGCATTACCAACGGAAACAAGGCAGCTTCCAACCAGTTTCCCTACCAGGTGGGACTCGCTTTTAAGAACTCCGCTGGCAGTTGGTGGTGCGGTGGCTCAATCATAGCAAATACTTGGGTTCTAACTGCTGCCCATTGCACAAATGGGTGAGTAATCATTCCAGATACCTTTAATTTAAATTTTATAAAATATCTCTTTTGCAGTGCCTCTTCCGTGACCATTTACTATGGTTCTACACTTCGGACCAGTGCCAAATTGAAGAAAAAGGTTTCCAAATCAAAGTTTGTACAGCACGCCAGCTACAAAGCGGCAACTCTACAGAACGACATCTCCCTGATCAAAACGCCATCTGTTAAATTCACGGCTGCCATAAACAAGATCACCCTGCCCTCCATCGCAAGCAGCAACTCCTCTTTCGCCGGACAGACTGCCATAGCCTCCGGATGGGGCACGACCTCAGATTATGATAGTTCGGTCACCTCCTACTTGCAATATGCCGAACTCCAGGTCATCAGTAATGCCGTGTGCCAACAGACCTATGGGTCCTCGATCGTCACTAGTGGAGTCATCTGTGTGGCTTCCACGAACAAGAGATCAACCTGCCAGGGCGATTCTGGAGGTCCTTTGGCCCTGAATGGTAAACTGATTGGAGTCACCTCATTCGTATCCGCTTTGGGATGCGAGAAAAATAAGCCAGCTGGCTTTACTCGCGTCACCAGTCACTTGGATTGGATCAAGACCAAGTCCGCAGTGTTTTATTAGGAGATATTTCTAAAGTTTCTCTAGCTATGTCAAATACTAGATTAAATCGATTTTGAAAATATATTTTAATTATTATGCAACAGAAGCATTGTCTATTATTTAGCTTCTAAAGGGAAACAATGGCTGTTGAACCCAATTTCCTATATGCTACTGTCCTAAGTAACTTATTTATTATTAGTATTTAAAAAATCTATTCCATTGAAAAGATTACTTTATCCTTAAAATTAAAAAAAAAACAAATAGAAAATATTTGAATGCTCTCATTTTATTTTTGAAAAAGTTACAGGACTCGTTGGATCCTCTAAGCCGAAACTCCGGAGTTGGTCTTGATCCAGTCCAAGTAGCTGGTCACGCGGGTGAAGGCGGCTGGCTCGCCAACCTCGCAACCATCGGGCGATCCAAAGGAGGTGATGCCGATGAGGGTGCCATCCAGAGCCAGGGGGCCACCGGAGTCTCCCTGGCAAGTGGAAGTTCCCTTGGGGGTGGCCACGCAGATCACCCTGCTGGTGACGATCAGACTGCTAAAGGCCTTCTGGCACACGGAGTTCTCGATGACAGTCAGGTCGGTGAACTGGAGGTCCCTGGCCACGGCGGTGGCCTCATCGGAGGTAAGACCCCATCCAGAGGCAACGGCGGTCTGGCCAACGTAAGTGGAGTAGCTACTGGCGATGGCGGGCAGGGCGATCTTGTTGACGGCAGCCGAGAAGGTTACGGACGGGGTCTTGATCAGGGAGATGTCGTTGCGGACGGTCAGAGAGATGTAGTTGGCATGCTGGATCCAGTTGGAGCTGGAAACGGTGTGGGTGAACTGCGGGCTGGTGCGAACGGTAGCTCCATAGTAGATGGTCACGGAGGAGGCACTGAAAAGTTAATACTAAATTAATCCAGGAATCTCCCGAAAGGTGCAAAGGCAACTGACCCGCTGGTGCAGTGGGCAGCAGTCAGAATCCAGGAGTTGTCGATGATCGATCCACCGCACCACCAGCTGCCCTCCGATCCGACGAAGCTCAGTCCCACCTGGTAGGGGAACTGATCCGCCACGGCGTTGTTTCCGTTGGTGATGCGACCGGTAATGGAGGGCACTGTGGTCCTGTCACGAGGATGCACAGGAGCGATCTGGGGCAGGAGCCCAGCGGAGGCGGAGGCGATGGCCAAAACCAAGACTGCGAAGACCTTCATACTGATGGCTGATTGAACAGTGAATGATTTCCCTTCAAAAACGGGTCTGTTATATACCCGATCCAAAGGGTCTTATCTGGAAGATCGCTGGGCAAATCCCCATGGCCCGATAGTACTTCTTTTAGGGGGAAAAGCCAACTACCTTACAAAGAATAGATAATCCCATGCCGGTCTGCCATTAATAATTTTTAATTGCAAAGTAGATTTACTTTGTGCTTTAAACTTAAAATTATTATTAGAATAAACTTTAAATAAGACTATTATTCAGGAGGTATTCAAAGGAAGAAGTTCCTTGTTGGATATATTAAATTGATGCTGAGATACAAATATCAAAAGGTAATTGAAAAATAATTTAAAAATGGCTCACCTTTTATATTTTGATTATTATAGGAATTTTTCAAAGATTTGTTATACAAACATACAAACTTTGTTAGTAATAAAGGCAAATTTATTAATTTCTTTTTTTAGTGTGTTATTTAAACGGATAAAATCTAAATAGAATGGGAATTTCCACATAGGCATTTCTAGAAGTATCACAGCCTTAGCCATAACTTACACTCAGTTAAATCAATTGGGATTTTCCCGTTGGTTTATATTGATAAGAACGCAGAAAGGTATATAATAACCCTGATCAAGTGATGATTATCACTCAGTAATCACCATTGGTCACCATGAAGGTTTTTCTTGTCCTCGCCCTGGCTGTTGCCTCCATTTCTGCTGGGATCCTGCCTCAGGACACTCCTATGCATCCTCGTGATATTGTGGCAGCTCCCTCTATCAATGGACGGATTACAAACGGAAAGAACGCAGCGGAGAATCAGTTTCCCTACCAGGTGGGACTCAGTTTCACCGGATCTTCCGGCAGTTGGTGGTGCGGCGGTTCCATTATCGCTAATACTTGGGTTCTAACTGCTGCCCACTGCACCGAGGGGTGAGTATCCCGATTGAAAGGCGTTCTTAAAAGACTTCTAAGATTTGATTTCCTAGTGCCTCCTCCGTAACCGTTTATTATGGTTCCACCGTTCGCACCAGTCCCAAGCTGACCCACACCGTTTCCAGTTCCAACTTCGAGCAGCACGCCAATTTCGACTCGGACACCCTGAACAATGATATTTCCCTAATCAAGACCCCATCGGTAACTTTTTCGGCGTCCATCAATAGGATTTCCCTGCCCGCCATCGCCAGTAGCTACTCGACTTATTCCGGACAAACGGCAGTCGCCTCCGGATGGGGCAGGACCTCCGATACCTCCACTTCCGTGGCCAAGAACCTGCAGTATGCCGATCTGAAGGTTATTGCCAACTCAGTGTGCCAACAATCCTATGGAAGCAAAGTGGTCACCAGCGGAGTCATCTGCGTTTCCTCGGTGAACGAGGTCTCCACCTGCAAGGGCGATTCCGGCGGTCCTTTGGCTTTGGACAGCCGGCTGATTGGCGTGACCTCCTTCGTTTCTTCCAAGGGATGCGAGAAAAATGCCCCAGCTGGTTTCACCCGCGTTACCAGTTACCTGGATTGGATCAAGTCCAAGTCAGGGGTTTCCGCTTAGGAAAACTCCTGTTTACGTACGATATTTCGTAAATAAATAATAATTGCAAGCAAACTAGAGTTTTACAAATTTTTATTTTCAACGGAAATTTTGCCAGTGATGAAATGGGCTGGTACTTTACATGCTAAATTTTATAAAGGCGTTAGGAAAATCTAAAAAATTTATAATCACATTGTTGATCAGTATAAATCCTTTTCTTAAATCTTTTTAGACATTTCACGAAGGATATGTTTTAAATTGAAAAGGTGCAACTCTCAAGGATTAAGAGCAAGTCTGATGTTTCGGCTTGGAAAATATGAATTTTTGTGTAAGATTATTCACAAAAAAAAGAATAACTACAAGCAAATGAGAGTTTGACCAATTTTAGTTTTCAAAAATAAACCTCTTTTATTTTGTTTTATTATTTCCTGATACACTACAAAATTTTATTTGTTTTTTAAGTATACCGATTAATATATTCGGACAAGACTTAAACGACTGTTATGTATCTAGGTATATATAAATATATAACTAACTCCTTTGACCGATTCCTCTAGATAAACAATTATATTTTTAATAGGCGCAATTTATATTCCGAACTATAAATTAGTTGATCACTTCCTTGCCATTAAAATGTAAAATAAAAGAAAAATTTAAATAGTTATAAATTTATTGCACAACAATGTGAGGTTTATCTATGCATTGTAAGGTTTTTTGGCTTTTCCCCCTGAAAAATTTCCGGAAATACTATCGAGCCATGGGGATTTGCCCAGCGATCTTCCAGATAAGACCCTTTGGATCGGGTATATAACAGACCCTTTTTGGAAGGGAAATCATTCACTCTTTGATCAGCAATCAGCATGAAGGTATTCGCAGTCTTGGTTTTGGCCATCGCCTCCGCCTCCGCTGGGCTCCTGCCCCAGATCGCTCCTGTGCATCCTCGTGACAGGACCACAGTGCCCTCCATTACCGGTCGCATCACCAACGGAAACAACGCCGTGGCGGATCAGTTCCCCTACCAGGTGGGACTGAGCTTCGTCGGATCGGAGGGCAGCTGGTGGTGCGGTGGATCCATCATCGACAACTCCTGGGTTCTGACTGCTGCCCACTGCACCAGCGGGTGAGTTGCCTTTGCACCTTCCGTGAGATTCCTGGATTAATTTAGTATTATCTTTGCAGTGCCTCCTCCGTGACCATCTACTATGGAGCTACCGTTCGCACCAGCCCGCAGTTCACCCACACCGTTTCCAGCTCCAACTGGATCCAGCATGCCAACTACATCTCTCTGACCGTCCGCAACGACATCTCCCTGATCAAGACCCCGTCCGTAACCTTCTCGGCTGCCGTCAACAAGATCGCCCTGCCCGCCATCGCCAGTAGCTACTCCACTTACGTTGGCCAGACCGCCGTTGCCTCTGGATGGGGTCTTACCTCCGATGAGGCCACCGCCGTGGCCAGGGACCTCCAGTTCACCGACCTGACTGTCATCGAGAACTCCGTGTGCCAGAAGGCCTTTAGCAGCCTGATCGTCACCAGCAGGGTCATCTGCGTGGCCACCCCCAAGGGCACTTCCACTTGCCAGGGAGACTCCGGTGGCCCATTGGCTCTGGATGGCACCCTTATCGGAATCACCTCTTTTGGGTCGCCCGATGGTTGCGAGGTTGGCGAGCCAGCCGCCTTCACCCGCGTGACCAGCTACTTGGACTGGATCAAGACCAACTCCGGAGTTTCGGCTTAGAGGATCTAACGAGTCCTGTAACTTTTTCAAAAATAAAATGAGAGCATTCTATTATTTGTGGCGTTTTCTTAATTATTAGCAAAACTAGTTTTGCCCTTTTTCTCTACGAGTAACTTGTATAATTAAGTAATTTAAATAATGGAGCTAAGATAGCTACTTAAAAAATTCACACCTATTATTACAAATTTATTTTATTTGCAAAGAATTGCTTGTTTGTATTGGGTTATACTTATTTATTAATTCTCAGCGTTCGAAGCGACAATCGGACACATTATGATCAAAAGTCCAAACAAATTGAATTAAAATTTGGTTGGAAAAGATATCTGTAGCGTCTCTATATTTAAAAAACCTAAAAACGTAACAACATTATTATTTTGCCACCTAATTTTCGATTTAAATTCGTTGCAATATTATGACAACTTTATTATATTGCAAAGGTAAAAAAGAAAATGTTTTGCTTTTTTAAATGCTTTTTATTTATGTAAGTCCCTTGGTAAACTTTCAATAAACCCATTTAGGCACTAACACCCGAGTTGGTCTTAATCCAGTCCAAGTAGCTGGTGACACGAGTGAATCCAGCTGGGGCTCCGATCTCGCAGCCATCGATGGATCCGAATGAGGTGACACCGATCAGCACATTGTCCAGGGCCAATGGGCCGCCGGAATCCCCGCTGCAGATGGAGGTGCGGTTAACACCATCGACGCAGATAACTCGGCTGGTGACCACCACACTGCCGTAGGTCTGCTGGCACACGGCGTTGGTGATGACGGTGAGATCGGCGTACTGCAGATCCCGGGCCACTGAAGAGGAGGTATCGGAGGTCAGGCCCCAGCCGGAGGCGACGGCCACTTGACCGGCGTAGGTGGAGTAGCTGCTGGCGATGGCGGGCAGGGCGATCTTGTTGACCGAGGTCGAGAAGATCACGGACGGGGTCTTGATCAGGGAGATGTCGTTGCGCAGAGTGAGCGAGACGTAGCTGGCATGCTGGATCCAGTTGGAGCTGGCGACGGTCTGGGTGAACTGGGGGCTAGTGCGGACGGTAGCTCCATAGTAGATGGTCACGGTGGAGGCTCTGAAAGGTACTAAATAAATCCAGGAATCCTCCGATAGGTGCAAATTCAACTCACCCGCTGGTGCAGTGGGCAGCAGTCAGGACCCAGGAGTTGTCGATAATGGAGCCACCGCACCACCAACTGCCCTCTGATCCGCTGAAGCTGAGTCCCACCTGGTAGGGAAACTGGTCAGGCACGGCGTCCTTGCCATTGGTAACGCGACCAGTGATAGATGGCGTCGAGATCCTGTCACGAGGACGCACAGGCAAAGCCTGAGGCAGGAGTCCAGCGGACACGGAGGCCAGAGCCAGAACCAAAACTACAAAAACCTTCATGCTGATCGCTGAGCTTTCAATGAATACTTTTCCCTGCGAAATGTGGCTACTTTATACCCGTGTTATAGGGTCTTATCTTCATTTGCCACTGGGAAAAGCCTTCACCCGATTAGTTTAGTTGTAAATTTTGACCAATTGTTGAGGTAGGGGAAAATCCCTTTCAAATAAAGAGATTAGTTGATAAAATCACAGTTCAAGTGGAAGTAGTCTTAAGAAGTCTTTAGTATTTTTGAGATAATGTACAATAAATCTTGTAAATTTATCATTATAACTAAATATCATTATAATAATTAATAATATTAAATAATTATTAAATATATTAACAGAATATAAAATTGGACTACCTTTTTTTTTAATCAGTAGAAACAATTATTTCAGGCTTTTATATTTACGCAAATATAACATACGTGCCTATATCTTTATATCCTTTATTATTGAAAAAAACTTTCGAAGTCTATAAATAACTATAAAAATACAAATACAAATAAAAAAATACGAAACACGGATGATGAGTGTTATTAATATACATTTTAAGAAATAAAATAAAAATTTGCAATAACCGTCATATAGCGTTTTTTCAAGAGGGAAATGCCCACCAAAAACTAGATGAATTATTACTTTATGATAGTAGTACGAATTAAACAGAACGGTTATTTCATTAGCGCCCATGGATTATGGCTATAACTTCAAATCGTTATAATCGTTTTGGGATTCGCCCAATATGTCATGATGATAAGCCCCTTCGGGATGGTCTATAAAAGCCGGAATTAGCCAAGGTAAGGCATTCAGTCAAAGTACTACGATCACCATGAAGGTCTTCATCGTTTTGGTTCTGGCTCTGGCCTCCGTGTCCGCTGGTCTCCTGCCTCAGGAACTGCCAGTGCATCCTCGTGATAGGATGACAAAGCCATCCATCAGTGGTCGCATTACCAATGGAAAGGATGCAGTGGAGGATCAGTTCCCCTACCAGGTGGGACTCAGCTTCCTCGGTTTGAAGGGCAGCTGGTGGTGTGGTGGCTCCATCATCGACAACTCCTGGGTTCTGACCGCTGCCCACTGCACCAGCGGGTAAGTGTAACTACTGTTAATATAAAGAATGATATATGATATTTGGTTTCTCTTCCTCCAGTGCCACCTATGTGACCATCTACTATGGAGCTACCGTGCGCACTAGCCCCCAGTTCACCCAGACAGTCTCCAGCTCCAACTGGATCCAGCATGCCGACTATTATTCGAAGACTGTGCGCAACGACATTTCCCTGATCAAGACTTCAGCCGTGACCTTTTCGTCCTCCGTCAACAAGATCGCCCTGCCCGCCATCGCCAGTAGTTACTCCACCTACGTTGGACAGACCGCCGTTGCTTCCGGTTGGGGAATGACCGCGGATACCGAGACCTCTGTTACCAAGAACTTGCAGTTCGCTGATCTGACTGTTATTGCCAACTCTGTTTGTCAGAAGACCTTTGGAAGCTTGGTGGTCACCAGCAAGGTTATTTGCGTCGCCACCCCGAATGCCATTTCCACCTGCCAGGGAGACTCCGGCGGTCCTTTGGCTCTGGATGGTACCCTGATTGGTATTACTTCCTTTGGAGCTGAGGACGGTTGCGAGATTGGCGCCCCAGCTGCCTTCACTCGCGTGACCAGCTACTTGGATTGGATCCAGACCAACTCTGGCATTTCCGCTTAGAAAAGATGTCACAAAATGTAATTTCTTTGAAAAATAAATTGGTTCATCTAAAATTTTTGTTGATCTTTTAATTTAAGCCGTTTTTGTATACTCTTAAATTACATAATATCATAAATTAGCAGACACATTTAAATTTAAACGCATTTCGTATAAACTTTTTTTTTAGCTAATTAAAAATTTAAATTGTTCTGCTCAAATCTTTTCAAACTAGATAATTCAGTATTAATGTTAAGACTAAGATTAAATAGGAAACCAAAAGGTGGCTTAAGTTTTCTCTTGCGAACTGGAAGGTAAATAAATTTTATTCCAAATTAAGGTATTAATTTATAAAGAGGCACAAGTATGCTATTAAATTACGCTTATCACTTTGTCGATATCAGTCAATTAACGATTACCTTGGTAATTCCCCTGAAATAATATAAGATTAAATTTCCGGAACTTCTTGGCTTATATTGTGGAAAGCTAAATCTGTATCTATAAAAATCTGGATTTGTTATCAACTAATGCATTGGGAAATTTTGACTTTAGGCAACAACTTTTTTAAGTGGGTAATACCCACACTTAAGTTATCTTATCTTGTCCAAATACAAAACGATTTCTTTTGGGAATTTCATTTTGGATTAAGATTTATGATTTAATATAATCTGAATTGCGTATTAAGCTCAATGAAGTCATGCTAGTTGCTTTATACCTTTTCTACCGATTGAAATTTAAATAATTGGTTTACTCGCATGCTTTATTTTAAAATAGAAATCCAATCACGTTTAACAAGGCTATATGATTTTATTATTCAAGTTACACTTTTGTTTCGAGTTCTTTTCCAACATCTATTTTCTGAAAAGCCAAACTGATATTTTTCGCCTTCTCGATTTGCTACAGGAAATGCCCGCCGTATTGTTTGACTTGCCAATCCAATGGCGGCCGCATCATCGAACTTTTGTTTGCTTTTTGTTCAATTTTTATTAGATACCATTTGTTTGCGTGCCATGGATGTTTTGCTACTTGAGCCGAACCTTCTACTACGTGGGTTCGAGCTCTGTTTTTATGTTTATGCGGAAATCTGCAGAAATTGTGTCAATATCAATAAAATTAGATTAGTATCGACGGGGACGACGACGACGGCGAGGACGACAAACAAGCAACCGAAGTGTGGCAGGCAACAAATAAAGTCCCTTCCTCTTTCTTCCGCTTCCTTCCTTGAGCCAATTTCATGTGTTGTGGGCTGCTTCCGCTTTCAGGCTCACTTCCGGCGCGTCCTGTGGCTGAGTGTGTGCGTGTGTGTGTGACAACTGTTTAAATGCCTTGAAATTGTTGCAATTTTGATCCATCCCAATTGGGTAAAGTTTGGCGAAGGGGCCAAAAGCATAGGGCCCCACTTAATCTCAGTTAATTTTCTTAATGGAAAAGTTTTTCTCAGTTCTTTCCATTCATTTTCTCCCTTTTGACTAGGCTCAAAAATTGCTTTTCACTTAATTCTCCTTCGCGGGTGCCGGGTGAATTTTTATGTCGGAACCGAATTTTCATAATGCGCAAATTAGAAAAGTTTTTCGCTTGAAGTTTCGCCCATTGAATTTCCACCCGACTTAAAGCTGCTTTTCCCCTATTGATTTCGCATTCAAAACATTTAGGTGGCATTATCGCAGTGCTTTTCATTTCCCCTCCCGCGAAACAATAAACAACATGAACAATTGTGTCTCCATTTCTCATCTGGTGGCGTAATCTTTTATATAAACACTGCCGTGGCGGTCCAACACTTTCCACTCGTCGTTGTCCGACTAAGAAAAACATTTGCACAAGGAGGAAAAGCGGGAAAACCGGCGGAAAAGTCAGGAAAGAGAAGGAGACGCCGACTGAATCACGTGACGAATGATTGAGTGCACTTCTGGGTGCGCTTTTTCACTTAAAATGTGCGATTTCAATCACTGAAAGCAAAGGTACACATCGGAAAATCGAATCAGCCACGGCTGATGGAGTTTCTGGAATGGTTGCTGCTTCCTCGCCTTTTTCGCCAGTCGAAGTACGAAGTACCATTAACCGCAAGGTGGGCAAAAACAAAGGACATTCGCAGTGCATTCAAAAGCGGAAGCGGAAGTTGGCAATAAAAACGCTGAAACAAGTTATGTGCAAAATGTCCGGGACACGTGATGGACTTTTCCCCTTAAAAAAAAGGAAACAGGAAAAAAGGGAACTTAGAATGCCCGGAGAGTTGGTTTGGTTGGGTTTGGGACCTCTGCTAAACATTCCGCACATCAAAAACGACGCGCCACTTAACAAATCCCAAGTTGTCGTTGCGTGCCACGTGACTGGCGTACAAAGCGGCCAAAAGGACTCTCTGGCAGGAGCCGAAAACAATAGCTCTGCTTTGGTCCGTCGGAATGTTTGGCCCGCTTGTTACTTTATGGCCAGCCGGCAAAACGCTTTCACGCACGCCCGCCCCTGCCCCTGCCACGCCCCCCTTGTCCAGCTGGCGACCTGCCGCGCTTAATTTCCGCTTGTAATGGACGCACGATAAATCCTGGCAAGCGTTTCCGAATCTCCAGGACTTTCCTCCAGCGGCACGCAATCGAAATATATATTTTTTAGATTCGCTTTTCCTGAGGACGCGCCTGCTTGTTGCATTTGCCCAGAAAAGTTTTATTAAATTTAAAGCTTTAAGTTGGGGCTTAAGCTTATTAATATTTAAGTTTGAATAAATATAAAAAAATAATAAAATAAATATTTATTTAAAAAGCAGAAGAGCTGAAACATTTATTAAGTCCTTATGAAATACATTTTCCAATTAAATCCCAAGCTAAAAAAAATATTTTAGATTACTACATTTTCAGTTTTTGAGTAATTTAATTTAAGCATGATTTTACATTGGCTTTCATTAAAAAATTTGCCTGTCTGTTACTTTATCCAGAACCCCTCCTCGAAGCTCTGTGACCCACCATTCTCAGTCCTTTTTCGTTGGCCATCATTTCAAATCGAAAATCCTTTTAACTTGCAACCGCAATGTGCCAATTGCCAGGGCCATTTTTATTGTCGCCCGTCGTTAGTCAAAGGCTAAAGTCGGTAACAACTATTGCCTGTCTCTGTCTCGTTGGTTGGGTTCGAGGGGCTCCGCCCATCCCTTCGCTTCGCCATTTTGCACCTGAGTTAGCCCACCTGTGCGTGTCGCCTAAGCCGGCGATAAGGCGAGCACATTTGGAAGGACGAACCGAACCCCTTTGATCGGGGGATTGAGGATTCAGGACTCGGTATTCGGGAATATCCCGCTTTCACTACGTGCCTTTCTTTGCGGCTGCGATAAATTGCTATTGGTTTGCAGTTGGGCCAAAAGGTAAAGCTGCTAATTTATTAGCCAAAGCGACAAACAAAGCATAAATAAGCACGGGGCTGGGGTTTTCGAGGTGGTGTATCTGTAGTTACCATCCGTCGTCTGACCTTAAACATTCGATTCGCTTTTGGCCATTTCGGCTTTAATGTGTGTGAAAGTGGCATATAAATTTCAATGGGGCGTAAGAATCCGCTAAGCTCTTGGCTTTGCAGCCCTGTGCCACGCCCACGCTTGAGGGGGCGTATGTATATATGTGTGTGTGTTTCTGTGAGGCAAACAATGGGAAAGCGACAACGACAACGCATATTCAATAATGTCGCTTTCAACTTTTATGCTTGCAAAATGCAAAAATCTGCAGTCAGGGGAGTGAAAAGGGGCACAGATAGTAAGTTGGCTAAACACATTCATGCATTTTACAATGTTGCCAAAGCCCGTAGGACTAAAGTTCTTGGCTGTGAACAATAGAAAAACGAATTAAACATAAAAGCCAGGGCCGGCGGTAGCATTCACATAAGTATATGTTTCTATGGGCACCCAAAGAAATTTATTGAAATAAAGAAAATATTAAAAAGTAAGAAATATCTTACAAATATTAATAGGAAATATTTTTATAACATAAAACTCAAAACAATTCAATTTTTTTCAAATAAAAAAAAATTAAATTTGTAAGGTATTTTTCTCGGAGTGTATGCCACCGTTTGGGGGTGTATATGTGCTCTACAACAATAAGCAGAAAGGCAGCAGCTGCAACAATGGCGAACAGCAAAAATGAATGCGAGTGCGAATCCAAGAGAAAGCCGAGCAGGCACGCCAAAGCCCTCTACAGTTGCTTTTACTGGCTTTTGTTTGGCCCACCACCTCCGACCTGCCACGCCTCCCTGCCCCCTTTGGCACCCTCTCCCCCCTTCTCCTTTGTTGCTGCTGCTGCATTAGCAACCATAGTGCATTAATGTTGCACGCCGAGCATGTGTGTATGAGACTCTAGACTGTAGATGGGTTGGCTGGCTTGGCTTGCAGCTCGCAAATAAATGTCGGGCATGCTAAACAGGATTTGATCAGACTTCGATATCTGATGTGCATAAATGCGAGCCAAATAGGGAATCGATGCCAATCACTGGGGTCTTCGAATTCGGTGGGGCTTAGAGCAAAAACTTAAATTTCCACATAAATATTGGCCTTCAATTTGAGGGTTCAAGAACGAGGGAAAGAGTGCTAAAAATAGATTTACTTTCAAGATTATGAAATTAAAATCAGAATTTTAAATTACTAGTGGTCCTTTTATTTATACCTTCAGGTCTTTAAAAATAGATATTTAATCAATACTTTTGTAAAATACGATTTATTGTATTTAATTTATTGAAATCTGAATTTTAGTATTACTATTACCCCTTTTTTAATACTTTTAAGCCTCAAAAAATCCATACTGTTTTAAAATACGGTACTCCGTCGTTCGGGCTTTGATCCTTTTGCTCTCACTTTATGTCCTTTGTTTTATTTTTCCGCGTTCTGCACTTTTTCGTGCCTTTTCCTCTAGCAGCACTTATAGTTGATCGAACTGTGCCGGCAAAGTGTGTGATTTGGAAAAGTTTCAAGTGGCAGGGCAGCCGTCACAACTCTGCAGAAGCTGCATATTCCCCTCTCCCGCACCACTCGAAATATGTGGAATCCTGGTCAATAGCAT